CGACAGCCCTTGACTCAGTTTCAACAGACCAATTTCTGAAGGATTATCCACGACTATTTTGTGCATAGATCTGCCATGAAGAATTGTTTCACTGACTTGATGTAATGATATTATTTGGGTTTAGCACAATTATCAATGGGCATTGTGTTTCAACAAGAATGACGCTTTTTGACAAAAATCCCGTTTTTTCATGTTGAAATGACTTCAGGTATGAATTTGTGATACTGAAGGGGTTCGAAGTAAAAACCCTCTAAAGATATCCTAGCTAAGTTTACGAGTGGAAAATGGAAATTACGTGTTGTCCATAGATTGTTTTGAAATATATTCTTTGAAATCTTCCTATTTGGGCAATTTTAATGAAGCTAGTGTTTGGAAGCTATTCTTAAGTCTGGTGTATATTAAATTGAGCAGTCTGAAAAATTCTTAATGGGCTAGGACGTGCTGGGGAGGAATGCAGAAATGAGCACCTAAATTTCCACTGAAGTACCTCATTAATAGCACAGCGTCTCTCCATTAGCCTGCCCTAACCAAATCCTGCTGTCTGGCTTCTCGTGCTGACCCTGTTGTCACTAAATGACAGAGGGTGTCAGCGAGTCAACCAGGTCGGAGCAACCTGGGGCTCGTTGACTTGAGTGTCAGTCCACCTAGCAGAAGGACCCCTCTGATTTCAAATCCGGGCAGGTGGTGTCCGTTAGCCTTGGCCGGTAAACTGCCTGGGAGAAGGTAAACTTTCATTCCAAACCTCTGCTGCCTTGTGGCTATACCTGAACACAGGAAAGGCCTTGGGAGTAAACTTCAAGGATAAATCCAGAGTGGAGCTCTATCAGGCGGTTGACAGATACTCAGTACTACTTTCCGTCAACTCCTTCACTGGAACTGGTCCTAATTTGTATTGGATCATCCTTTCCTCTGGACTCAGCCAGTGGCACCGAGAGGTGGACACTGACGTATGGGCAGCTCAGTGTCTCCATACGACCCTGTCCGAGCTTTTTAGCGCAAAACGGAGAGGCTACACCGGCGACGTCGCAAGATTCCGGGGGAATGCTTGGGGTCTCGTCCGACGGTTGGAGAAGCTTTCGCAGCGTCACTGGGCTGCTACTGCCCACCCCAAGCTGGGCAGCCCCCAGCCAGTATGTGCCGCCCCACCATGGCTTGCCTGCTCTACCGGGTGCGTAGAGCTTAGGGGTCTCTCCCGACAAGCAAGCGCCAATCTGCACCAAGTAGTCAAAAGCAGAATCATACAAAGACTCCAGCTCTTCGGTTTGCAAGCTGGAGCGTTCCCACCACGTGTCCCGGTCTTAAAGCAGATCTCAAACAAATGGAGGACTCCCGCAAGACCGCCATCACCAATAAGGAACTAGCACGATTTAACATCCACGTTGCCTTCAAGAAACCCGCCTGACTGACAGCAGCGCTCTGTGAGAAAACGACTTCACCTTACTTATTAGCAGGGCCTGTCCCAGGACGAGCCTAGGCAGCATGGTGTAGGTTTCAGGTGAGGGACTCGCTGATTTTCACCACAGAAACCCCTGCAGGGGGGTCCGAAAGAACCCTCGCCCTCCGCATGAAGACATCTTCCGGCTTCGTAAACATCCTTTCTGTGTATGCCCCGACTCTCACGTCTTCCCCAGAAGCCGAAGATCAGTTCTACGAGGCTCTAGAGGAAGTGCTATCTAGAATCCCTCGCTCTGAAGGCTTATTTTTGCTAGGCAACTTCAACGCTTGCGTTGAAGCAGACTGGCAAGTGTGGTCATTCTGTCTTGGCCACTTTGGCATAGGCAGGATGAACGCTAGCGGACAGAGGCTGTTGGAACTCTGTTGTCATCACGGCCTGTGAGTTACAAACTCCTACTTCAAGTGTAAAAGGCTGCAAGAAGTATGTTGGAGGCACCCCCGTCCCGTCACTGACACCAACTAGATCTTGTTATCACCAAAAGAGCGGACCTCAGCAGTGTTCTCCACACGAGAAGCGATCACAGAGCTGACACAGATCCTTCCCTTGTAGCCAGTAATGCCTGACTGAAGCCAAGGAAGATCCACCATGCCAAGACCAAGGGTCGCCCCCTCATCAACACTTGTGGAACGTTCGATCCGATCAACGCTCAGACCTCCTTTGCTGACAGCTTTCAGAGGAAACCTAAAGCTCACCTCCAGTCCGAGATCCCAGGTGACGTGGACGCCAAATGGAACCATCCCCGCGACGCCATCTACGACTCAGCCGTGACTGCATTCGGAAAGCACGCAAGATTGTTGACTGTTTCGATGCTCACTGGGACGACATGCAGCCAGTCAAAGAGGCCAAAAGAAAAGCACTGCTGGCTCACAAGCAGAACCCTTGCCCCGGCACGTGCGACGCCCCTCGAACAGCGAGGAGCAAAATCCAGCAGATCGCCCGCCGTTTAATACGCCAATGAGTACTGGAAGAACCTGTGCGCCAACATCCGGATAGCTTCCAATTGTGGATACACGAAAGGAATGTACGTGGGCATCAAAACAGCTATCGGCCACACAAGTATCAAAATAACACCGCTCAAAGCTAAAACAGGCGAAATCATCACTTACAAGAGCAAGCATTTCCAGCGTTGGGTCGAACGTTATCTTAAACTGTACTCAACCCAGAACATCGTGACAGACGTTGCCTTCAACGCCTTGCCTGGCCTTCCAGTCATGAAGGAGCTTGACGAAATGTCCACGCTGGACGATCTCAGCAAAACCATAGACTGCCTTTCAAGTGGCACGCTTAGGCTCCACGGAAAGACGGTATCCCTAAGATGTTCTGAAACACGGGAAAAATGCCATCTTGCAACCCCTATGTGATCTCTTCTGTCTTTGCTAGGAGCAAGGACACATTCCCCAAGATTTGAGAGATGCAAACATAGTCGAACACAGTGACTGCAACAATCACAGGTGCATCTCTCATGTGAGCATAGTTTGCAGAGTCTTCGCCTGGTTCACCATGTTACGCCTGCAGAGCCTCGCTTTGCGAGTCTATCCTGAGTCCCAGTGTGGCTTCAGTGCCGAGAGGTGCACAGTGGATATGATTTTATCCCTCCATCTGCTGCATGAGAAGTGTCGAGAGCAGCAGCAGTCATTGTTCCTTGCATTCGTGGACCTGACCAAAGCCTTTGACTTTAGTTAGTCGAAGCGGGCTCTTCTAGATCCTGCGACAAATCGGTTGTTCCCCAAAGCTCCTTGCAATCATCTTCTTCCAAATACCGTTTGCTTTGATAGAGCCATCTCAGATGCATTTCCAGTCAGCAGTGGAGTGAAGAAGGGCTGCGCTCTAGCACCAACCCTGTTTGGGATTTTTGTTCTCAATGCACCTCCGATACGCCTTCGCCGACTGTCCTGAAGGTGTCTACGTCCGCACAAGATCAGACAGAAAACTCTTCAACATCGCAAGACTTCGTGCAAAAACCAAAGTCTACGAGGTTCTTATGCGCGAGCTGCTGTTTGCAGACGGCGTTGCTCTAGCATTGCACAGCAAGAAGGGCCTGCAGTACTTGGTGAACAAACTGTCCCATGCCTGCAAGGAGTTAGGGCTCAAGATCATCCTCAACAAAACCAACATCATGGCACAAGATGCTGTCTCCCCTCCTGCCATTACCATCGACAACACACAGCTGAGGGCTGTTGACACCTTCATCTACCTAGGGCCCACTGTTTCAAACACGCTCTCGTTGGACATGTCGACACTGCAATTAGCTCCAATATCGCTAAAACAGCTGCTGTCATGGCAAAACTCAACAAGCAAGTGTGGAACAACAGTTCACTGAGTTTGAAGACCAAGTTACTCGTCTACCAATTTTGTGTCCTGTCCACTCTCATGTACGGCAGCGAGTCCTGGACAGGCTATGCCAAGCAGGAGAAGCGGTTAAATGGGTTCGGCGCCACATGTAAATCAAGCGGCAGGACAGAGACCCAATACTGTGGTGCTTGAGCGCGTTGACTTGCTAAGCATTCCTGCATTTCCCAGCCAGAGACGACTCAGTGGCTCGGCCACGTGCACTACATGGAGCCGAGTGCTTGCCGAGAGAAGTCCTTTACGGAGAATTGCAGGTTGGCGTCCGCCGTGTGGGCCGACCGCTGTTGCGTTTTAAAGATGTCTGTAAACGCAACATCCGGTGCGAGCAGATCCACGCCAATAACTGGGAGGTTATTGCCAAAGATCGAATCACCTGGCCCCACAGTGTCAAAGAGGGTGTTCTCAAGAACACAAGGGTCCAGATGGCGATGGAGCGTGCGGCGAGGAAACAACACGTGCAACATCGGCACGTTTACCATCAATCTTCATCGGCGCCAACGACTGCCTCCAAAGACTGCCACTCAAGGATTGGGCTGTACCGTCATTCCAGGCGTTGCTCCAACCCTTGACGCGCTAACCATTGCTTCTTCGAGGCAAGGATGCCAGAGAGAGAGTCTGAAAATTCCATTGTGTACTTGCTATATTTGATCATTTTCACGTTAATATTTACGAGAACTTTAGGCAAGACTGCATCACTTGAAAAAAAATGAAGAGATACTACACCAACCAGTTTATGGTGCAACACAAAGAAATGAGTTCAAAGTGTAATAACATTGAAATGGCCGTACCTTTGCTTGAGGTACAATTTGTCAGTGTGACGTTGCTGTGAATTTTTTCTTAAAATGTGTACTGTGTAGCACTGTTCAGCATTTGTTTAATTTATAATACAGTTTAAATGAATGGAATTCAGTGTCTTGAAGTGGTCATTGGTGATTAAAGCGGCATGCTCTTTACCTTGTTGATCAAAAATGTGGGGTTCTTTCTCTACCAATTAATCCAGATGAGGATTAATTACATGTAATATAACAGCACAATCACCCACATAAACAACCACCTCGCTTATATCAAAGAGCTTATAAAGTATTTTCTTTACCCGGCTAGTGTCTTTGCATGAAACAAGTTGAATGATTACAAATCACACTGTTTTATCTTATACAAAAATACAATTTAATTACCTTTTTCCATTGAACTCGAAACGTACCCAAAAATTGGTTTCTTCCCATTCTACATTTTTAATATAACAAGCTCTTAATGTAGATCAATTAAGGATATGAAACAGAAGCACCCAATAGTAGCATGCAATCATGAATACTTAAAAGCAATCAAGCGTTAGTTAAATCACATTGCACCTGCTTAGTGCAGAGTTTACATCTTATAAAAAGGTTTAACCCGTGGGCAGAATTCAACCCCCACCCATTGCGATTTCCTCCAATAACACTTGGGCATTTTTTTCAGCACCAAACTCTCACAGGTATTTTTTTAACTTCCTGCCGTCATTTTGACACCATTTCTATTAACATCAGACATAAGCGTACTGTTCTATTACTGTTCTATATTGTAAGCCTATTATTCTTATTTTGTTTTTACTGAGACTGGTCAGCAAAATATTCAAAGTATTTTTACTGACGTACCAAATGCACGAAGGCTCAGACTTATGTGGCCATGAACTTCGAATGACCGTTATGACTGAACTATGCACTGGAATGTTTTAAACGTCAACTTTTTTTCTGAAAGATCATGCATTAAACAGCTGAATACTGGGACAGGATCTACCCTGGCCCTTTCAGAGTTGAGCCTATTCGTAGCAAGGGTAATGTGCATAATGTAGCTTTGATCTTAGCTTTGCCTGAATATATTTTATTGTAATTCAATACATACATTTATAAAGAGTAAATAAAGTGCAATTCCAATATGTATACTAGTTGACGCTCATTTAACGCTTTTAAGGTGAAAAAGGTTTGGGAGCACGACGGTGAAGTTTGAATATAGAACATCTTGGATATTGTTTGAATGTTTTTCGGTCTTCCCCGATTCTATTTCTTTCACCCGAGGATCAAGTTTTCAAAAATCTCTAATAGTAGAAAGCGTCGTTAAAACTTCCATCTCTGTTTCCTACCTGAAACAGAAAATACATTTCATGATATAAATGCACTGCAGCCTATGATTGAGTTTAAATCTGCTCATTGCGAACAGTTTTTGAATGCTTGATATTTTTAACATTTAACTAAAAGTAATATAACTTACAAATGCCGGACCAGGAACGACGTATTGTCTGGGGAAACTGTCATCTTCCTGACCGTAAAATTGGATCTAAGAAGAAGTGAACACGTTGAAATTAGTGTTAGAGGTCTAAGCTTCCAAGTAAACTTCCGAGCCAATTTTCTGGCGCAATTAACTTGCCCTTTAAACGAATTAATTTTTTGGGTTAATTTTTAAAAATCGTTTTGGGCGGATTACAGAGAACGTTAACTATTGCGAATCAGTGGGCCAGGCAAGCTGTCAGGCGGGTTACAAAGATTCCCATGGGTTAGTCTGGAGACAAGGACTATAGACCCACATCAGTGGTTAAAGTAGGGTAAAAATCCATAATGAGACTGGGGACAGAGCATGTAATATTTTGTATAATTTTAAAGCCTCAGTAAGTCTTGTGATGCATTATATCATTTGTCCAAATGGCAAATATCCTAGATTTTATTCATTGAAACTGGTGACAAGATCTTGCCTTTTTGTCAACTTTAGTAACAAATAGTACTTTCAGTCCGTTTGATACCGGTAGGCTTTTCAGTCGAAGGTAAATGCTATTTATGTTACGGTTAGGTTTTAATAGCCCATACGTGCTAAGATATTCTTACATCGTATTTGGCTGAACGACGGTATTCACGAGGTCTCTCCTCCCACTCAACATTCTGGTTAGAAAACGAGTTCAGGACGTTGCTGAGTCCATAGCCAGGTACACGTCGCATCAAGTGAACGCACATAACACCAATGGCAACAATGGAGCCAAACACAACGGCGCCAGTTGAGGCAGCAATGGCAATAACAGCTCCATTAATGTTACTCTCTGTTGGAATTTCAGGAGGATTTTTTTCTCAGTTAAAGTCGATTGTTATTAACAAAAGCAATTATAATACAATATTCTACTTATAGCAAGGTCATTCGTACGTCCCAGTCCTGAATTGTTCATGATTGTTTTCCTTTCTAATGACATGATTTATTACAGTGACTGAAAAATTGCAAACAAAATCAAATCGAATTTTATTACATATGTGCATATCATTTTTGTTTGATGACCATCGAAGCGGCTGTTTTCACTTCTGAATGTGACGATAGGCTCTGACCTACTTCTTGCAATCAGTTCTGCTTATCTGTCACTGAGCTGCCTTTTCATTAGCATAACGATGACAATAATAACTGATAACTTGGAATAGGCCTACTCTCAGTCGAGTTTCATACTATACCGGCTACTTCGATGGTGAACTGGCACGATCCGGTGTTCATGGCACCATCGGTTACACTGCATATTACCGTCGTCGAGCCAAGTCCATACATTCCACCAGACACCACAGTAGCGCCTGCATTGTTTTCGCACCGGATGTCACTCAATGTCAGGCTATCAACGTTGTCATTGGCGGACAGATATTGAATCCACGTCACAGAAGCTGTAGACTGGCCTCTCTCAGCACTCACGGAAATTACTGAATCAGGACAAGAAATACTGGGAACTTCCGTATCTAAAAAAAGGTAAGCACAGACGTACAGAATCAAACATCTTTTCTGTAAATCATTCACACAAGCTGGTGACTCTTTAGGAAAATATAATTGAATAATGACATGCTATTATCTCATTGAAATTGTTGACAATCACCAATGACATCAATGGTGAATTGACACGATTCTGCATTCATGGCCCCGTCAGTGACGGTGCAGGTCACTGTAGTTAGGCCCAACTCGTATACTCCACTGGACACCACGACGGAGCCTAAATCATCTGAACACAGTATGTCACTTAAAGTGAATATGTCAACATTGTCAGTGGCTGATGGCATCGATGACCACACGACAGCTGCATTTGGCATGCCAATGTCAGTGCTCTTTGAAGTGACTTCGTTGGGGCAGGTAATTTGGGGAGGTTCTCTGTCTGCAAATTGAGTAAGAAAAAGCAACGATAGTAAAACGCTTTACCTAAAAACGAATCCACCAAGGTTAATGGTTCCAGCTGATGCAGAAAATGTTCAAAGAACAAACGAAAGTAAAAAAAATAAAATAATAATAAAACATTGTGCATGTTTATATTCTAGCATTACATCTTACCGACAACTACAATGGTGAATTGACATGATCCAATATTCCTGGCAGAATCGGTTACACTGCAGGTAACTGTCGTATTGCCAACTCCATACAATCCTCTAGACACTACGGCAAAACCTTCGCTGCTGACACATTCTATGTCGCTTAGAGTCAAGTGGTCAACGTTATCTGTTGACTTTGGCAATGATGTCCATGCTACAGTGGCATCTGCTCTACCAGTGCCAGCGGTCATAGTTACGGTGTCAGGACAGGTAACGTGCGGAGGCTCTGAATCTGCAAAATGAGCATTGAAACCTGAAATTAATCTTTGCCGACTTTAAAGTTTGGTAACACCACTGGTAAAAACATCGCAAATTGGGACTAAATAACAAAGTAGAGCCATGCAAAGCTTCAACGACCAAAACTGAGACTGTCAATGCTCCATGAATATTGCACAAGAAACTAACTAACAGTCTTGGTCAATTTGTTAACTATTTCCGCCGAGAACACTGTTGTCTTGGAAAAACATAACCTTTGATATATTTCTAACAATGGACTGCCGGCCTTGGGTAACACTGAAGGCACTATGCTAGTAAACTGCCATGACAACGTGTAAACTGATGTGAAATGATGGTGATCGCGCACGCACACGTACATGTCATGGAAGTGAACATTTTGAGTCGACAATATTGTCGAACAGGCAGATTACGCTCAAGTAAACAAATTGATTTAAAGGGAAAGAGCACTGGTCCATCTGCAAATTGTCCCAGCCAGTGTGTTGTTGGCCCACTTGTAGCTCTTCAATTTTTCAGTTGAAAAGGCAACTTTTTTCTAGATTTTTCTGAAAGCACAGTAACTTAAGATAAAACAATTCAATTGTAGGAAAGCAGCAATAAATTTGCAGCCCCAAACTTGGCCAATGTACGAAAATGGAAACAAAAACCTCACGGCGTTGCTTTTCTGAAAAAGATCACTTCTGTGACTGGGAGTCAGTGTGTGCAAGTATCCCCTCAACATTGAGGTGCAAAGTGGCATGAAAGACACATCAAAAAACCTGTTGGAGGATCATACTTACGCTAGAGAGTGCGTAAGGGAATATTGTGATCTAGGCAACATATTTTGCTGGCAAGCAGCTATCTCAACTATAGTTTCTGTTACAAAAATAGTACCAGGGTCTGGTTAGCCCCCTTTTTTCCAGGTGTTCAAAACAGCAGTGTCTATTAAAAATGTGCAAATAACAGGAAACATTGGACTTGTTAGTTCCCCTTCAAGAGCAACTTTCTTTTTGGTTTTTTTTTTTTTTTTGCTGTTTTTACTTCAAAATATGGACACTTAATATCACTGCAAATGATGGGTAGGGCAATATGGCCACCCTTTTACGGTAAATCAAACAGTTCTGGATGCAAACGTGTGGGACAAATCTTTTTCAAATTTGTGTACATGTGCTAAAATGAATAAAAGTTTCACTCTCAGCGTCTAACACAATAAGCTACTTACCAACAACTTCAATGATAAATTGACACGACCCTGTATTCAAAGCTGCATCACTTGCGCTGCATGTAACTCTCGTGGTGCCTAGTCCATACATTCCACCAGAGACCACCACGTTGCCTGCAGTGTTGGTGCAACGCACGTCGCTTGAGGTGAATGTGTCAACATTGTCGGTGGCTGAGGGAATTAGTGTCCATGTCACAGCAGCGTCTGCTCTACCTTTGTCAGTATCCATAGTCACTGTTATAGGGCAGGTAAGCGCGGGAGGTTCTTTGTCTACATTGAGAGTGTTTGGGAACAAGTAGGATATTAATTGTTGTTCAAACCAGTTCTGGTCGAAATGGAAAGCTCAAGCAGTATGTTTGAATACAGCAGGCTCAAAATAGAGTGGGCCACCAAGAAGCTGTCCGAGAAAGGCTGCCTTTCGCCTAGTCTGTATAACAGACCCACTGATCCCAACTATTCTTGATCGTCGATCGAGTCAAGGGCCCGGCGTCATCCAATGTCTACGTGACCAAAACCGGAGGAATTCCCCCAGTTTATGAGAACTGCCGAAATATTCCAAAATCATCCCATCCACATTCGTTCGGATGGCATCGTTGATGTTCGGGTATTTCCAGCCGTGTATGTAGGCATAACGGGAATTACCTTTCTTCTGCTTGTTGCCTACTTGCAACACAATGCCCTTCCAACGCATTTTCAGAGTTTCTTGCATGTTTTCAGAGTGACTGCCAACTTTAACAGCCTCTGTGTGCATCTAAACGTAGGATCCACCTAGGGTTTTCCTTGTTACCCTTGACATGCTGCGCCATGATCTATTTGTACCTTTGGGTGCTACCTGACAGAAGATTTTATTAAGAGTCGTCAGGGAGTCTTTAGTAGGGAACCAGACTATTTTTCGACGAGCATTATGGGAAGTAGTCGACAAGTCGTATTGGCTTGCTGCACAGGAATTCGAATCATTGCCTATGTTTCTCTTTTTAGACAGGGAAGGAAAATAAGTGTGGACCGAGTAGCAGTTTTAATTGATCCTTCTTTCCATTGAATGGAATGCCCCAGAATCTATCAAATAATTTTCCTAAGACTGGCCAAGTTGTTTGTTGAGGTTTGATCGGTAGTCATCTTGCAGGGCAGTTTTTTGTTCCAAAAGGAACCCCTTTTGTGCATACCTTGTGGAACAGAAAACTGGCCTCCGAGATGGCAGCAGTGCAAACCCTCTCTTGACATACTCTCAGATGCAAATCTTGGCAAGGCAGCCATGCATTTGACGACGGTATAAAACATGAAAAAACCGCTGTTGCAACCTCTTGGTGGCGCACTGCATTGTAAATTGCCCCTATTGTAAGAGCCTTACTGGTAATTGCATTGTAACACTTCTTGCAAAACAGGCCCATTAATAACACAATCAATACATCGATGTGGTATTTACCAATAATTTCGATTGTAAATTGACAAGATATTGCATTCATGCCAGCGTCAGTTGCATTGCATGTCACTGTTGTTGTGCCCAAGTTATACACTCCACCAGACACGACAAAAGAACCCGCATCATTTAAACACTGTATATCGCTGGAAGTAAATATGTCAACATTGTCAGTGGCTGATGGCATCGGAGTCCATGTCACAACTGCATTCGGCATGCCAACATCAGTTCTCTTTGAAGCAACTCCGTTGGGACAGATAATTTGAGGAGGCTCTTTGTCTGCAAATTGAGTAAGAAAAAGCAATGGCATTAAAGCACTACTTACAAACGAATCAACCTAGGCCTTTGATAATGGCTTGTGTAGAAACTTTCAGAAGAATAAAAGAAAAAACAAACAAGGATGAAACAAATGAAGAATTCTGTATAATCAAAAAAACACATCTTACCAACAACTTGAATGGTGAATTGGCATGATCCAATATTCCTGGCAGCATCGGTTGCACTGCAGGTAACTGTTGTATTGCCAACTCCATACAATCCTCTTGATACTACGGCAAAACCTTCGCTGCTGACACATTCTATGTCGCTTGAAGTTAAGAGATCAACGTTATCCGTCGATGTTGGTAATGGTGTCCATGTCACTGCGGCATCTGCCCTACCGGTGCTAGTTTTCATGGTTACTGTGTCGGGACAGGTCACATTCGGAGGCTCCGAATCTGTAAAATGAGTAATAAGCTTTAAGACCTAATCTTTCCTGCCTGGGAAGATCGTTTTACTGTCTGGGGATCCATGTAGAAATAATTATTCCCTAAACGTTGCACTACAACGTGGGTAGGCAGCATCACACTTGGTGGCGAATGTTTCTAGGGATGTATCGGTGGTTTAGGTGGCAAGGTTTCGTAGAAGATAGGCTGGCCTGGATTTCCTTTTGGCTACGAGAGGTTGGGTCATAGCATTGCAGAACGTTAAAAGTTCATTTTAGTGATTACTGAAAAGTAAGAAAGGGTGGCCGATTTTGACTAAAGCTTTCCACTACAGTTCCCCCTTTACCCCATTGGGTGTGCGTAAAAATCAAGTCGAAAGCGAGGGATTGAGGTCTCTTTGGGGTAACGACAGAAGATTCCTTCTGTAATTACTATCAATACAAAATGATGGCAATATGGTAACCCTGATCAAACGTGGGAGAAATCTTTTTGGAATCTGTTATACGCCAAAGGAAAATACAATACGTCCAGCCTACCGGTACTAACCTACAACTTCGATGGAAAACTGGCATGATCCATTCTTCCCAGCAGCGTCACTTGCACTGCATGTTACTCTCGTTGTTCCCAGTTCATACCTTCCACCAGACAACACAACATTGCCTGCTGTGTCTGTGCAACGTATGTCGCTTGAGGTGAATGTGTCAACATTGTCGGTAGCTGATGGCATGGATGTCCATGAAACCGCAGCATGTGCTTTTCCCTTTTCAGTGTCCATGTTGACTGTGTCGGGACAGGAAACAACTGGAGCTTCTCCGTCTGGAGAAATAAAAGAGTGATCCATAAACCTAGTTTTAATCACATATTACATTACTCCAGTATGTCAAATGGGGTTCAGCTCACAAATGCATCGATATCTTTTGCTTGTCATTTTCCACGCTTTCGGTTGCCCTTCCTAAGGGCATTTTCATAAGCTTCTAATCTCATCACCAGAGCTCAAATTCTACGAATTCTAAAAACAGGTCATTCCCAAATGTAATGAACGGGGGATGCCCTGGCCGTTGTTGACATCGGTAGCTTTTTGAGAGTGCAGTGTTGACTGACCTGTCTCGGAAAATCTTGCTTTTCGTGAAAGCATCATTATCTGAAATTTTTGCAAAAAATGGTTTCAAAATTACTGCAAGGCATATAAATTTAAAACCAGCGACGATATTGGATCAAACGATGAAGAAGATCCCCTGGCTGCTTATTGCAAAGGCTTTTTTGAAAACTGGACGACGTACTATAAAGGGGGTAGTTTACAAGTTCGAAAGATACTCAGATACGATATCACTTGGTTTTCCTGACTTGAGTGTAGTTCCTATTGTGTTGAACTGGATATACTCAAAAGCAATTTGATATCAACCTACTGTTTCCACTTTGAAAAGACATAATCACAGAGGTGTCCATCACGGAGCTCTAATCACTATTCCCTCCAATTTTACCAGAGCTTAAAATTTTCGTTTTGCATGTTAGATATCTCTTAAAGTAAATGCGTCATTAATTTTTGACTGACGCCTTCGTTTTTTACATTGTGGCAGAATTGGCAACCCTTTAACAGTGATTGGGAACCCACATACCAAGGAACTTTTGTTCGTGGATCTCTTTTAATTATCCGTTAATCCAAAGTGACCTGATACCCTGCCAGCTTCCATGAACGATGTTTTCTGACAGATAAACTCCAAGTGCGCAATTAATATAATACATGTATGTATTATGTTAATCTTCAATTTGTTACAATTAAAGAAGAGTTGGAAGAAATCCAACTTTTTTTCATCAGTTTAACCAAAACAACTCCAGAGTTGGAAATCTGCCATTTGCCGGATACATAAGGAATTACTAACCCCGTATAGTAATGCTGAAATTGCATGATCCAACATTCATGGCGGCATCAGTCGCATTACACACTATGTTCGTTGTGCCTAGTCTATATACTCCACCGGATACCACAATATTGCCTGCTGTGTCTGCGCAACCTATGTCACTTAAGGTGAATGTGTCTACATTATCGGTAGCCGATGGTGCCGATGTCCATGTCACTGCAGCATCCGCTGTGCCTGTGTCGGTATTCGTGGTCACTGTGTTGGGACAGGTAACAACTGGAGCTTCCTTGTCTGAAAGTTGTGAGAAACAAATGTACAGAGTTTTAGATAACGGTGGTAACAGTTTTTCACGTGTATAAGTCGAGCTCAGCTAACATAGGCCTAGGTGCACTATTCAATTTTCCCTTCCATGCTGGCTAACTCGTAAGTTACTTATTTTGCGAATCAAAGTTCAAATTTCATGAGTTCTTAAAGCAGCTCATCTCCATATTTGTGAAGAGGAATTGCCTTAGCTACGGACATCTTTATCCATTTTCCCTGTATGTAGTCTGGCTTTGCGTGTAAATAGTGAAAAATAACCACAAGGCATTACTTAAAATACAAGAAGACTGAGCACATGGAAAAATAAGCACTACGACGATACACATAAGGGAGTCTTATGATCAGGAAGATCCTGCCTAGCTGTTTTACGGCAAAGACTTTTTAAAAGCTGGCCAATGTACTACAAATGGGGCCGTTAATAATTTGGAAGACACCGAGATGTGATTGTAAAGGGTGCTACAGACGTTTGTATCGTAATTGAATGTTGCTAAATTTGGCATACTCAAAAGCCAGTAAAATACCAGTTAACGTCCATGCTGAAATACATATTCCTAGATTTATGTCCATCATAAACCTAGCCACCATCCCTTCCTTCACACAAAAGCACTTCCCACCAAGCAAAAATGGCCCATGAATGGACAACGTTATTTTAAACAACCAATGACAAAGTGAACACCTGTTTTGTCAAAATGATGTGCACGAGTGGTTTCTGTATAGGGAGCCATCCTTACTGACTACACATACACATTATAGAAAAGTAATGATTGTGACTTCTTTATTTCGTCCTGTGACATTGAAGGTTCATTCTGTTACATTCTTTGACTTTTGATTCAGTAACCAAGTTGCTGTGCATGTCAATTTCTTCTTTGTTATAAAGATAATCACTTGCTTTTGGGCATGTGATTAGTAAGGGGTATTGCGGCATACCTATGTACAAAAAATTGGTTATTTCTATGAAGTGAATGTGTGGCGTTTGACAGAGCAGGCATGTTTCTTTTGCTGTCTAGTGTATATTATGCCCATTTTTATTGACAGTTATGAACGTTCTCTATAGTGTTGCGAAGAAATATCAACTCTTTTGCCTTAATTGAACCACAATAATTCCTAATGCTTTATTTTGTTACATGACACGAATAATTACTAACCACGAACAGAAAGGCTGAAACTGCATGATCCAGTATTCATGGCTGTATCGGTCGCATTACATGTTATATTCGTCGTGCCTAGTCCATACATTCCACCAGACACCGCAACATTGCCTTCTGTGTCCGTGCAATGTATGTCACTGGAGTTGAATGTGTCAACATAATCAGTGGCTGATGGTGACGATGTCCAGGTCACAGCAGCATCCGCTCTGCCTGTATCGGTCTCCGTGCTTAGTGTGCAGGGGCAGGTAACGACTGGGGCTTCTGTGTCTGGACGTCGTGTAACACGAAAAATGGAGGAAATTTCAAACGTTGAAGCATGGGTTATTCTCGTGTATCAAATGGAGCTCAGAACACATCGGCCAAGGTGTCTCTTTTCACCATTCGGGTGTTTCTGAAAGCAAATTCTTAACGTCCTGCTTTCACAGCTCACGTTTCACAAGTTCTTCAAGCACTCCATTCTCCAAGTGGAGATGTCCTGGCTATTGACATGTTTCGTCATCGTCGTAGCCATCGTCCTTGTGGTCGTCGTAGGGAGGAGGACGAGGACAGGGGGACATTAGTCTTTCTTTGATGGATTCGCAACCTTTGCGGAGTTGTCCATGCGTAAAATGGAGGACAATTGTCCCAACCGATAATTTTCTTAACAAAACGATGAGCATAACTACCCCTGACAAATTCCAGATCTTTTCAGAGTCTCTGGTTTACAGATACCAAGTCTTAATTAAACAGTTGCAAAACGTGCCGCCCTTCATTCAATCGATATATCCCAACAGAGGTGGTTAAATGAAAAAAAAGAGATAATGTTTACTTTTTCTTTATGCTTTAAAAAGAATTACCGGTAGTTAATTATCTTACGTTTTTTCTCTTTCTACTTCCAGTACCTCACAAAGTGGGGTCAGCCTTTCTGTAATATGAAATGTTGCAATACTTGAAATCAGACATACCTATATCGGGCGAAATTTTGATATCGTCGATTGAAATATCTGACTGAAAGGATGTACCACGTGTTGCTTTAATATAGACGGAAAAGACCGGTGGGGCATTTGTTACTTCCACTACTGCTTGAAGCCACTCGTCCGCATCTGTTTGTTGGCCCTGGACGACAAACGCTTGCTCAGAAGTATTGGATTCCGCTGATTCCACAAATAAGCGAAGAGCGCCTTGGGGCATGGTAGTAAAAATAAGAATCAAAGTAAATGCAAAATTACACGACATGACACTAAACATTTACAAAGTTAGAACTTGGGCGTACACGATTTGCATGGACTGCAAAATTGTCGAAATTTGCTGATTTGGATGTTTGTTGTTCACTTTTTATGTCATTCCACAGACTTGTTTCATTTTGAGTTCGTTGCCTTGAGAAAAATCAAGAAAAGCACTGATTATTTTCAATACTCAAAGCGCAGCTTGTGAAATGCGGACGCACTCAAGTGCCTTGCAAGGTTTATCTGCAAACCAATAATGGCCCATTAAGATGCATTTTGTTTTCAATGGCACGAGTGTGGCAAGCTGTTGGAAAAAGGCATGCTTTCTCGCTGCGAATTGTTGGAATTAAACAAGACGACACCCCCAATAAAATGACGCGGTTATCACAGTCGCTGTACAAATGTAAGATCGACCACACAGTCACAATTCGCTCTGTGCACCTTGTAAATACTTCATAAATGAAACTAATGTGATAGTAAACCTGCATATTTGGCATGGAAATTGTGAGATTGGGAAAACGGAAAGCAGGTTGTCTCAAAATCGCAGACTTTGCCCAAAAGGAAAGGGATACCATTTCATATTACAGACGAAAGGTTCATACACGTTTTTACAGACATTAATCACATAAATGATATCATGAAACAGGACAAGCATCAAACAAAATATGATCGTCGTGTCAAATTGTATCAGCTCAAAAAATAGCCTTCACGGATTAAAGAAAAATCATGTAACAAATTGCTTTCTGGCCACAATCACAGTTTGTAATTAGAAGCCTCATTTCTTTTCATGAAAGTCTGAGCTCCTCAAAGTATGGTCTTCGTAAATAGGTATGCAAGGCAAGTTGATGTGCTGTGTCTTACCCATTCCGCCGCCGTACATGTTGTACCAAAAACTGATTGTCCTGTTTTGAACAAACCGGGTTTCCACCAGGGGACTGACTATGGTCCCAGATTCTCCGGTTGCTGAATCAGATGCCTCTAAGTACAAATAGGTTCCACTAATATCTGAAACGAGAATTAATTTAGAGATACGCTAAAATACATGCCAGTACACAAATAGATCAGTGGACGTACCAACTAGCAGTAATTTAATCAGTTTACCTCCTTTGGTCTTGTCAAAATCGGGTCCAGTGCCAACTGACAAAGTGTCTCCTCGCTCTGTCAACAAATACAAATCCTCTTTGGAATGCATCCAGCCGCACAGCGTGCCATCTTCAAAGTCACAGTTGAAATCCAAGTTTCCTATCCGAAGAAATACAAACCTTAGCACGGTCACCGACTTTCACCCAAGCCCTTTTAACGATTTCATTTCTAATCTCGGTCCCTTTTGTAATCTTGTCAAAGAGATATATTTTCAGGATTGGTCAAACAGGTAAAAATTTTGTTTTACCATAGAGCTATAGACTTCACAACTCATAAATAGTGACATATTTTGTTCAAATTATGATAATCAAAAATATTCTCAGTTGTACATACGTTGACAGGCTCCAGAATAAATTCCAACATCATCAAATGCCATATCTCCCTCATCTCCATCATTGGTCTTGATGCCTCGGAAAACCACTTTGAAATCGGATGTTTGATTGCTGATGTCAATCAAAGCTCGTTGCCACGACCTCCGCCCTGTGTGCTGCCCACTCGTAGTGAAGACAGGTGGGTCGAGAAACATCTCCGCTTGATTTTCAGACTCCAAATAAACAGTCAGTGAGCCTATAAAGGAAATTGGCAGGATGTCGTCAAAGGGCATTGCAACCTCATCGTGAGGAGAAAAATGCTGGAACATATTACCGATGTGCAATTCTTTACATTTACATTCTTTACATCAAATCGTCTCCTTACAGTTAACGGGAGACTTTGATGAAAGAAGTTTGATTTTGTTTTGCATCACAACTAAGCTGAAGCACGCTTGCCGTGCCTGGCCAAACAACAATTAACCGATCACGTAGGACAGTTGTGTTTATAGCCATCGAGCCTTTAACCTTAAAAGAGCTGGGTTATTTTGGGGCCCTCTCAAAGCAGGGTAAAGGCAGATTCTACTCAGTAAGAATTCGGATGTACCACCCCTAATTTTGTGAGACTTAGCATGCATATAAACACTCTTATCATATCAAATATGAAGTCTGAAGTCAATCAGGTGAACTTTTTTGTTGTTAGAGTGATTTGAAGTCCAAGGCTACACCATGCCAGCCTGCCTGTATTTGACCCCACCGTAAAAAAAGGTATACACATTTGGCTAACCCGTCTCGGAAAAAAATTAGCGTTGTGCAATAACAGTGGGATCAGTTTTCAAAAAAAATGGTTGCAAATTGTCTGCAAAGAGTTCTTTTATGAACCCCTAGAGGCTTGGCTTTTTCAAAAAATGCACAGAGGAGATATCTGAAGATGTCGAGGTACGGGTGGATTCTGCCCTCGACTCTTTTACGGTTAAACGTCTCTGAATTCAATTAAAACAACTGCGACAAAACATCCGGCAATGGCGCCGTAACTACCACTTTAACAAATAAGTAAAATCCAGTGTCCCAAATGGACTTGCTCCCTTCTTCTTCTAAAACAAAGATGCGCCACTCTCTAAAAATTGTTTTGTTACTAGTAAAATTTCTTCAAATCAATTTTCTTCGGAATGGGACCTAGGGCTTTAGAAATGAAAAACAGCCTTTATGGACCATTTCTGTCAGACATAAAATGAAGGCTGCGTTCTTATTCAGCTAGGATATGCTCTCATAATCAATTTTGTGCAGTGGTGCAACTTTTCTCCAAGGCACATATTGTCATTTCTTGTTTGTTTTTGTTTTGAGTGAATTGAAAGCGCCTTTGTTTAAGACAAAGATCTACCTCCCTGCAGGAAAGGGATGCATGGGCATTTCTTCACTGAGGGATATTTCTTCTAAAGAAAAACATTCCACTTGGCCCTGCTCCCGCCCGAGGACTTGAATCACCTGTTGACCTCGGCAATAATTGCACCAAATCCACTGAAATATGTGCTGCTAACCTTTTCAGAGATTGTGAATTCAACAGTAGGAAAGCAGTACTCCAAGATAGGACAAAAGTATTGCTGGAGAATCGAAAGGGGACTCAATATAGAAATGAAATGTTTGAAGTCTGTTATTTCCGTGCACATTAAGTAAGTAAATTAGGTGTTCAGGAAAATCATTACGGACGTCGGACAACATCGATTAAAGTAACTTGATCACGGCCATAAAGGACGCCTCAGAAAGCCTTTATAGGAATTCAGCTGATATGAGTCAGTATTGTGACGCATTAATCCGTACCGATATCTGCTCCAAACATGCTGTACCAGAAACTCAGGCACAAGATTTCTTCACTATTCTGTGGCTCCATCAAAACAGTTGGACTTAGCAGCACTGCATCATTGCCTTCAGTGTAGTCTACTTCGAAGAAGCAATATCCTCCCGTGATGTCTATGAGTTTCATTAAAATACACAAGAGACCATGAAATCCATCATTTCAACATTTTACACTGAACTTGCGCTACGACTGTTTTAGTCACTTGGGGACCGTTGTACGAGCCACTTAAATGTCGACTGACTCTACCCTTCCCCATAAACAGTTAATGGCCATGCACCAGCACCACCCTCCCTGGTTGCATCTGAGAGGACTGGGATGCTATAAAAACTGCGAAAATAGGGGTGTTAAATTGAACAGCCACGGTGTTGTCAATGGACTACACCAACACTTTCCACAAGTGTTAAAAATTCTGGTGTTATTTGGTTATACGTTTAACATCCTCAAGTGCATTGCAAAACTTATGTGTGCAAAGTAACACCAGTGGTGTTAAGTAACACCCTATGGTGTGGTCATCTGATAACACCAAAAGTGTTGATTTTAACACGGTAGTTTTTGCAGTGTAGGTGTGTACTTCATTTTCATATTTCAGATGGTGATTTGAAGAAACTTGAAAGAACAAGGGGTGAGCCTCCGAACCCCTTGGGTGCTCCACTGTAGGACTATAGGCCTACCCCTACCGAGTCGCTATACCCTCACATCCGTTGCAAACATTTTTGTGATATTAAGGCTAAACGCTTAAAAGACGTACCACCTCGAGTGTGATCAAATTGAGGTCCAGTGTAACTTGACACAGTGTCTCCTCTCTCTAATGCCCAGTTGGCGCCATCACTGTAGTATTGCTCCCAACCACAGTAATCCTCGTCAAAGCTACAGTTGAAGCCAGTGCTAGTGGCTAGGTTATGGGAGAATATTGAATGTTAATATCGCGGTGCAAATGAAATGACGTGTTTTTTTCTTTTTTTTTTTTGTAAAAACACCTACATTGCATACAATGTGCCAGTTCGCTGCAAGAGAGATGTTATACATATTTACTGCTCTCTTAGGGATCCTAAGTTGAAAAGACCTACAGGTCAAAATTCATTTCCCTTCAGATACATTTACTTCAATAAAAAGTTTGCTCACACAAAGTCAAACATATTATCAATGATACTGTCGATCTGAATAACCTTTCCCACTATTTTCTATTTTTAACGTTTGGGATTTTCATGGCGGGGGGAATTAATGTGGATTGTATAATATAACAGTGTCGACCCAAACACTATACCCATGAACGCAACCAAGGTTGCTCTATAAAGAGCTGACTTCCGCTTTCGTGCTGAGGTAGTTTAAAAAAATGCTGTATTTTTTAACAAATATTTTCAACAAATGCAAATTTAAAATAAAACCAAATAGTTATTTAAATGTACCTTACTTTTGCATATATTACAATTGGTTTAACCATAAAAAGCTGGGTTGTTTGGGCCCATCTCACGGTCAGGGGTCGATTTCGCCACCCTGGGCCCTCCGAACCCCACTGTACCACACATGTACAAACACTCCTTTACATTAAACATGTGAAGTTTAATCTCAATAAAACGTGGTTTTGATGTTACGGTCATTTGAAGTTCATGGCAACATGTGTGCCACTACGCATGCATTAAAAAGAGCGCACATTTTTGGCTGACTCATATTGGGAGGATGTTGTCAATATGATTGCAAGGAGTTACTTTAGAAACTCCTTAAGGCTAAACTCCTGAAACAGTGCAATGCGGCGACATCGGAAGAAATGTCGGGGTGGGATTCTGTCCCGGCTCTTTTTGGATTAAAGCTGGCAGCAGCTGCAAAGACGCTCTAAAATAAATATTAACTCATTTTGAACTGCCATCTAACATAGTACTACAACCTTCCCTTAGTGACCTACAGAACATTCCGCTCTTTGAACCAGGAAATATAAATTGCACTGTTAATCTTTTTAGGAGGCTTGTTTTAATACGCAACTGGAGGTAGGCAGTGTAAATGTAACATATACTGCAAAAACTGGGGTATTAAATTTAACACACCCGGTGTTATCAGAGAACTATACCAACACTTTCCATTAAAAAATTGGTATTATTTGGTGTCACTTTTAACACCCTCCAGTGCACTATTATGTATACAAAGTGGCACCAGCGGTGTTAAAGTAACACCCTTTGGTGTGGTCATCTAATAACACCAAACGTGTTGATTTTAACACCAGAGTTTTTGCAGAGTAGGCCTATTTAGAATAGCTCGCGGTAGTCCTATAGGTCAATCAGCTCACACAGGTGCGGAGGGTATGTTCTTTAATTAACTACTTACCAGCCAAGCAAGCTCCTTCGAAAATCTCTAAGTCATCAACTGCAGTGTCACCCTTTGTGTCTATTCCTTTAATACTTTGCAAGGCCACCCTGAAGTCGGAGTTTTGATTTCGAATATCGACCAGTTCATGAAGCCAGACTCTTTTGCCGGTTTGCTGACCAGTGATGTTCAAAAATGGAGGTCGAGCCCCAGGTGACGTTTCATTAGCTGGAAAAGCAAACACCTGAAACGAACCTAAACAAAAGCCGGTGAAGATTACATTTCCAGATTATTAACACCCCGCTGAAGGAAACTTGCAAATTTATTCATGTATATATTAAACTGGTCCAGGATTGTCCCTCGATCATCTCAAATTCCTATTCTGAACTTAAGTAACGATGTATCATTGCTGCTTAACCGTTTAAAAAATCATCAAATCTGGACGGCGGGAATGTATTGTGGTAAGATACAAGGACGGAAAGCAACGTGTTAGGCCAGAAAGAATTTACGGAGATATTTTTGATAATGACTGAATTTTTGAGGCATTAATTGTAGTTAGGCGCAAAATTTCACAAAAATAATTTAATAACCAAAACCAGCCTTGGGGAAATATGAATTTTGGATTTTCTTTTGCTCTGTCCAACGTGTATTGTAATACTTTATACTCATGCAGTGGGGAAACGTAAATTAACAAACAAAACAACTATCCTTTGTAGAAAATATATAGGAGGGCGTGTATTTCCGACACTACAGACTTCAACTTGCACTTGACAAAATAGGTTAACGGCTCCAGGCCCTCATAAATATTTTGAACGTTTTTTAAAAAGTGCATTTGTAAGGATATACAACAAGTAGATGAGAGAAGCGGTTAACAAGATAAAATGTACTGTTATGCTGCTATAGATGCATCAGAAGGCCTGTAAAAATCGTTATGCCACAATGGCTTTTCTGTAAAGTGTGGCATTATAAACGGAGAATCTTTGTAACGGACACACCCTGTAACAGTTCATTGATTTTGTTAGAGTTACAACAGAACTCCGTGACAAGCTTTGTAAATGTACAGTCTTCCTGTGTTAAACGAATTAACATAAATTTACATATATTTACATATTGGCTTTGCACCAATCCACTTTCATAAAGCTGGTTTTGCCATTTTTCTTCTGGTTTCTTGTTATTTTGTATATAACATAATATTTTGAGGAGAAAGAATTTAAGCCATTTGCGAGCCCAAACTAAGAACTGCTCAATCAAACATAATTTAAATCTACCATCCTGTCAACTGTGACTAAACTTGAAAGAAAAATCGATGCAAATATAGGCAAGCTGTGTGCCACTATAATAATATCAATCTAGAAGCAACTGTGATCATTCTGCGTTTATTGGGTAAGGAAATAAAAATCAAATGCGTCATCACCCGCAAAACGCGTCATTAGCCCCCCTCGACGTTGTAAGCAGCCTTCCTCAACCTCGCACCCCTTGCTTCTTCAGACATAATTGTTTTAGTCGCAAAAAAGTCTTTGGGAATAAAAAAAAAGCATTTCAAAGACATAAGGAGCCTCTGTATATAAACATGAAAGTTGTAATAAGAATTGACATAAGATTCTATGTAGAAATGTACAGAAAAATTTCTGAAGGTTTTCTTAACAATCCTTTAGGCACTTCAATATTTGGATAGTTCAAAAATTTTCCCTACAGTGCATTAATAGTCCTACCATATTTATAAGTTACACAGTTCAAGTAACAAGTTAGTTGTTTTTATGTCCAACTTGGCGCCCAACTAGTGATAATCGACTCCATTGATTAAGCATTATTTCAACCTAGCTAGAATAAATTTGGCACTGTGCAATTTTGGTTGCAAAATAGGGGACTCTAGAAGCTTAAAAATTATATTTCTCCGTGAAGAAATTTGGTTGAATTTTTGAGGGTGTTCATGACAACGATATGAAAGCTCTGAGTAGAAGTTAAGTTACTTCAAAAATAATCTAGGTAGGGCTCTTGCATGTCAAGTGGTAGTGTTCTATGTACAAGAACCCGATTTGTCCAGTTTCTGGTGAGGTACGGTCCTGTCTGTATTTCAACATACCAGCTTCCTGTCCGTACACGTTATACCATAGGCTGAAGCACCAGTCCTGTTGAGATTGCGTGACTTCAACAACAGGACTAACGATGACACCTTTGCCTCCTAGCTCCATATAGTAATAAAAACCGGATGAATCTGTGCAATAGGTGCGGAAACATTATTTTCATGTTATTTTGTTCAGTGGCTGTTTACCATTGACTTTACAAGGTTATATGTTTGCTATGGGGCTTCGCGATGGCGTTTGCATAGGCCCATAGGACATTTGATGATATCTATAAAGTCATAAGTCAAAAGGTTTTCTAAAAGTTCCAACACAATTAACACAATTGGAAAGGATTAAAAAAACATGGGTGTAAAGGCAGGTGGTGTACGTGCATTACATGCATGCCTCTTCGACCAACGGTTAGCCCTGATTTGTTCATTAGCACTCATGTTTGAAATTGCGCACGGAGATCAGTGCTACTGCAGTCACATCTCCTCCAGGTTAACTGTGTAGCTTCGATCTCGATTTGGACAAAGAGAGATATAAAGAGGGGGCAGGGGGGAGACGGTAAAAGTTTCTTAGCAATGGGGGCGTCTTTGGTCCGAATGGACTCCCTACTTCGAGCACCACTATGGAATGCATGCGTTAATGAGGTCGTATAGCTACATGCACCATCAAAATGAAGACTCCTGACAAATATGGCTCTTTTCAACCGATGAGGGGATGCCTCTGCCCCAGGTAGATTCATGGTGAGCAACCCCAAAATAAGTGCCTCTTTAAAATTCTGATCAGTGAATTTTATTGCACAAATAGAATTTTTGTTTGACCTTTCATACGTGATATCATTGAAAATGCCCGCAAAGCGGAGCTAGTGATATTTATGTTCAAATGGATTGGACCTTCACGTCTGTGGAAAATCAGAATCGCTCTTATAATCAAATGAACATGTTAGACCTGTGTCGGGGCAGGGAAGCCCGGGAGAGAAAAAGGAAAAGAAACAACTAGTAAAAGGAATGACGTTGAGGAATAAAGCCAATTTCTTCTAAAACGATCAAAATCAACTTATCTTTCAGTGTTTTATCGGTTAAATTATCAGTTTGCTGATGATGATTGTTCTGGACCTCCTTTTGGAAAAAAGTTGCTTCGCCCCTTGGAAATGTCACCCAGGACATTTAATTTTTCCATCCATCAGATACAAAGTACCCTCCAATTATGCATTGTAAGTTAAATTGAAATTATATATAATTCGATAGATAAGATGGTGAATTGTACGAAAAAAATACTACATATACCTCCCAACGTGTGGTCAAACTCTGGTCCTGTGTGGCTCGTTAAGGTATCTTCTCGCTGCAAACCCCAATTGTAGTCGTCATCATTGGATTGGGTCCAGCCACAAGGTCCTTGCTCGAAACTGCAGTTAAAACTCAACAAAGGACCTGTAATCCATCAAAGGCCGGATTTCAGTTGAAATTTCACTACATGGAGTTTACGCCTATTCACTCATTAAAACATTTGTGATGAATTCAACGACCAAGAAAGGGGCTCCTTCACATAGTCTCAAACCTTTGCACTTTCAGTGACCAGAGGACCATCTGTCAATCAAGTGGAAGCATGTGGCTTATAATAAAGTTATTTTCTCAAAGGCTGATTGCAAAACGTACATGAAACACTTAAAGTTGTACTTTGACCGGTCCTGTTCATCTGTGGAACATCACTATTTTCATTTTATGACATTAAAATAAAACATACCCGCTTACCACTAACCTTAAAAATGTTTAATTTAGAAAGCTAAATTAAACCGGTAGTTTTAATTGACTGACTTTGATATTAGCCTACGGCGATCAATGCTGAGCTCCTATATCAAGCATCCAGCCTGTGAGCTAATGTACAATAAATCTTATATGTTCTTCTAGAACAAGCCATTTTGAGAACGGGAGACCTTGAGACGCATGGTGGCAGCATCCACAACGGTCCTTTTCGTTGATGTGGGTATGCGCGTTAGCTCTGAGCACGTGCACAGCAGCAGAAAAGGGCCGGCTCCCAAGTTGTCTCCTGGCACCATGCGTTCCTTAAGTTTTCCCATTGACTGAGCATTTCTTATGCATCAACTGCACGCTTACTTGGACATTCGTCTTGCCGTATTGACAGGTCGTCAATGGCTGTGTCTGACTTCGAACCGTCCCCTCTGATGACTTCCATCGCAACGATAAAGCCTGCGTCCAGGCCGGAAATGTTAACTAGTGCCTGCATCCATGCTTTGTCACCGGTTTGTCGGCCACAGACGCTGAAAACGGGAGTTTTCGTGCTGATGTCATTTCCAGAAGAGGTCAGGTAGGCAAACACGTTGATGCAGTCTGGGGATTATAAATAACGCGAGGAACACTGTGTTATAGGAGACTTTTGATACGCGTGAAATGGCAAAGAAACGGGTCCCATATTATGACACACTTCTGCAGTATTACATTGTCCATTTTACACACACATGCGACGGACAAAAATAGTGCACAGGAAATGAAGCATGACGGGTGTGTTTGCCGCCTGAGGAAGCCTTTTAAAAGGGTTAAAGAAAGGCAACCTTTTCAGTCAGGGTGCAAAAGTAAACAGCTGCCTTGCTTGTCTTTATCAGTCTCAACGAAAACAGCATCTACATAGTCATTGAGATGATATCTATTGCAGCCACACCAGAACACACAAAAAAAACATTTCAAGCTGAGGACAACGAAAGCATTGGAGATGCCAACGTCAGCACCCTGCGTGTCTACTTTAAAAATACGCAGGCCGACGTGCCAAAGTTGCTTACCTATGTGTCGGCCAAACATATTGTACCAGAAACTAAAACACCATGACTGCTGCTCCGCTGTCCCTCGAACCTCTGGACTTAGCAAGACTGCCCTGTATCGTGCATTTCCATTAGAACCTTCCAAATAAAGGTACGTGCCTGAGTAATCTGAAAGGAAGGACCACGTGGTTATGTAGAAATCAAAAGCTTCGGTGAATTCCTTATTAGCAAACCTTCCTGAGCTTAAAATTGATGGCGAGCGGTGTTATGACCACAAAAGATGAAGCTTTGAAAAGTCAATGAATATTGATTTCTAACACGTATTACCATGGGGAGGATTTATATTCATTATTTGCAATGGGGCTTTGAAATAGGTTCGAAATCAGGACCTGTGTTGATACCTATAGAGTCATAAGTCAAAAGGTTTTCTAAAGGTCCCGACAAAATTGAAAGGATTCAACAAACATTTCTTTACATCCATTGGATGTAAAGAAATCGCCGATTAAAGGCAGATGGTGAGCGCGCGTTACATGCATGCCTCTTCGACCAATGGGTTGCCCTAATTTGTTCATCAGCCTAGCACTCAAGCTTGAAATTGCGCGCGGAGTGCGGTTCTACTGCAGTAACAGCCTCTCCCGTTGGATTGGACCTTCGTGGACCTGCATGTTTGTGGAAAATCACAATCGCCCCTGCAATCAAAGCACCATGGTAGACTAGGCGTTGGGGTGCGCGAAACCCGGCAGAGAAAAATGAAAAGAAACAATTAGTGAAGAAAATGACGTTGATGAACATTGCCAATTTCTTCAACAAAAAAAAAGATCAAAATTAACTATCTTTCAATGTTTTATCAGTTTATCAGTTTGCAGGTGATGAGTTTTCTGGACCTGCGGAAACCCCTCAATATGTCACCCAGGACTTTTGTTTTTTCCATCCATCAGATAAGAAGTACTTTCCAATTATACATTGTAATTAAACACAAATAGATAACTCCAAAGATAAAGATGTGAATTGTACGAAAAAAATACTACCTCCAAACGTGTGGTCAAATTCTGGTCCTGTTTCGCTCGATAAAGTATCTTCTCGCTGCAAAGCCAAATTGTAGTCGTCATCATTGGATTGGGTCCAGCCACAAGGTCCTTGCTCGAAACTGCAGTTAAAACTCAACAAAGGACCTGCAATCAATCAACATTCTGGATTTCAGTTGAAATTTCACTGCGTGGAGTTTACGCTCATTCACTCATTAAAACATCAGTGATGAATTCAACGAACAGCACAGGTGTTCCTTTAAACAGTTTCAAATCTTGGGACTGTTACTATCAAACTGATAATACATGAACAGATGACCGTATTTCAATTAAATGGAAGCGCAAGGTTTATAAGAAATTTAACTTATTATGTCCTGCAAGGCTTAATGTAAAATGTACATGAAAAAAATTGATGTTGTACTTTGATCGTTCCCCTGCTTCTGTGGAGAATCACTACATTCCCCTTATGGCATTAAAATAAAATGCCCATAAAATGAATACGGCTTTAATTAAAAAAAAAATTGATGTTGTACTTTGATCGTTCCCCTTCTTCTGTGGAGAATCACTACATTCCCCTAATGGCATTAAAATAAAATGCCCATAAAATGAATACGGCTTTAATTACAGTGTACGAGCTAAATTAAACAGGCGGTTTGAATCGAATGATTTTGCTGTTAGAGCACTCAATGCTGTGATTTCATATCGAGCCTCCAGCCTAATAAGTTAATGTACGATAAATCTTAAATTGTCTTCTTAAAGTAACCACTTTGAGAAAACCATGAATTGACTGAGTATTTCTTAAGCATAAAGCATCAATTGCATGCTTACTTGGACATTCGTCTTGCCAGATTGACAGATCGTCAATCGCTATGTCTGATTGCGAACTGTCCCCTCTGATGACTTCCATTGCAACGGTAAAGCCTGCGTCCAGGCCGGAAATGTTAACTAGTGCCTGCATCCATGCTTTGTCACCGGTTTGTCGGCCACAGACGCTGAAAACGGGAGTTTTCGTGCTGATGTCATTTCCAGAAGAGGTCAGGTAGGCAAACACGTTGATGCAGTCTGGGGATTATAAATAACGCGAGGAACACTGTGTTATAGGAGACTTTTGATACGCGTGAAATGGCAAAGAAACGGGTCCCATATTATGACACACTTCTGCATTATCGTCACCCAATACACACACATAGAAAATAGTCTATAGTTGCGGAACTATGGTAAGTTTAAGTTAGCAAAGCTATCGATTTGACTGTACGGAGCTGGGGACCTTTCATCACACCAAGCACGTTTCTCGAGTGACTGATTTGGGAACTGTAGTTTACTGTCTCTTCAAATGAAGATTACGTTTACAACATTGGAAGTATATGCTTCCTCTTTGAAATCCCTCCGTCACCAAAGGAAATTCTTTCGATTGGAAAATACACGCATTTGGAATATCATCTCATTCATTCATCCGGGAAGTATCATACGTCAGTTTCTGAAGGATTAATCAGTTTTGCAAAATTGTACATGAATTGTGATTGTTGAAGTTGTTTTTAAAAAATGTTTAATAACAGAGAAAGAATTTTAAAATAAATACACAAAGAAAATAATAAAAATAATAAAACTTAGACCTAACTGTCTGAATATAAATCTAAATAAAAATAAAAAAATAGATGGAATAATTCTAAAATGGAAGGGATATGCTACTTGAAACTATAATGTAGGAGGCACATTAAAAATATTACATAGAGCAACGCAAGGAGCGGTTCAAATCTAAAAATTTGAGTGTTAACCGTATTGAACGTCTATAATAATCTACTTTATTTTTGACAGCATTTCTCACCGTGTTTGACGTTGTAATTTAATGTCACCAGTGCTTTTTCTGTGTCTATCAAGTCAAGTTTGATCTAACAGCTTTTGAAGAATGTCCAAAATGTACATTCTTAAAAGCTGTACATTGTTAACACTGGTAAGAATTAACTGTACATTCTTTTTTAAAATTAAGAATAATCGACTCTTTACTGGATAGGATTGCGTCTCAAGAGTGGTCTAACTCAGAAGCTCAAAATGAAAACTGCATGCGTAGATAAATGAGATGGTGCTATTGCTGCCATACCAGAACACAAAACGAAAATATTCGTAAGCTGAGGACTAAGAAACTATGATAAAAAACTTGCCAATGGAAAGTTGCTTACCTATGCTTCGGCCAAACATATTGTACCAGAAACTGAAGCACCATGACTGCTGCTCAGTTGTCCCTGGAACCTCTGGACTTAGCAAGACTGCCTTGTCCTGTGCGCTTCTACCACTGCCTTCCAAATAAAGGTACACGCCCAAGGAATCTGAAAGTAAGAACCGTGCGGTTATGTAGGAACCACCAGCTTCAGTGAATAACCTATCAGCAAACCTTAAATATCCTTATCTTAAAGACAGAGGGTGATCGGTGTTTTAACCCCAAAAAGATGAAGCTTGAAAGACAGAGGGCAATTGGTGTTTGACCCCTGAAAGATGAAGTTCCTGTGGTGTTTGCTCATCGTTAAGTGTTGTAGTCGCATGAGGGCGCTATTATGACGTGACAGAGGGCGCTAGTAACTAGGCGCGGTGCAAAGATATAGATGGCGCTCTGCCCAGTAACAGAGGCAGATGTTAGGCGCGCATAGCTGTGTATTAAGCAAGCGCGGCGCATAGGCTCCGCCTTGTGCATTGTGCGATAGGGCAGTGGAAGTCACTGCTTAGTCACGTGAGCGCGTGCGCGGGCGTAGTCAGAGCAGCGCGAAAGCTATAAAAGGCGCGCGTAGGCTAGGATTAGCGGTCCTGATAAAGGGCTGATCTTGAGGTAAGGGTCGAGAATCCTGTGCAAGGGTTAAAGTCACCTAGCCTAGTGTGACTGTGCCGAAGTCCGAGTGGTGTGTGTGCTGTTGAGGGGCTCGGTAGGTTGAGGGGCTGATTGGTGGTGCAGTATAGTTCCTGATAGGAGCTTGCAGTCGATGCAAGGGTGGATTGCTATCTCTTGACGTGAGTTGCGTGTAGCGCAGCCCTGACAATAAGCCCCGTAGACTCGCTAAAGTCCCTGATTCGGCACTGGATGCCCACAATTAATTGTGGTGTTCACTGCTCTGGGCGAAGTCCAGTCACGTATAATCACGCAGTTTCCCCGTCAATAGCGCCCTCTACTGGTGAATTGGTTGAGCGTGTTGAAGAATAAACCAGCCGCTTGTTAATTGTTGTATATAAGTCAGGAGTCCAGGCGAAGTTTATTTCAAGTCAGGTCTGTCCAGGTTACGTCATTAAGTTTCGACCAATCAGATTAAGCCATCATCTCGACGAAGACCAACTTTCTTGGGGGACAGTATACTTTGGTCCCAACGGACTCGTCCCTAGCCGCTCAGGCGTGCCGTCCGACGCACCGCGCCTCGAGGAGGAGGGCGCCCTCGCCTTCGTCGGAGGGGCGCGGCGCCACACTATTCATGTTGTCCATGAACCGCTCGGTACGTTGTTGTGTAGTAATCTTGGTGTTTTGGACATGCTATGCGGGCACGAGAGATAGTTCCAGTTTTAATAATACATTAATCTATAAAATGTTAATGCAATCAGTTCAGCTCCTGTGCCCGTGAATATACGTGTAAATTGGTCGTTGGCTGGGATCTTTTCCAAAACTTCTAGGCAACTCTGTAGTCGTCAGGTTCAGGGCCTGGAATGGTCCTGTGGATTTGCTAAATTGTACCAGCAGGGTTGGGGCCTTAGGCTAGGGGCAGATTGGCTACATCGACTGGTGAGTTACATGTATATAGCGAGTTATATAATAGCTAATCTAAGGTCATAAAAGTGGCTGTATGTAGCAGGTTGCAAGTTGAATGTCAAATTTGCAATGTGGTGTGCACGTACGTTTACCTCCACCTTTGTTATTGTACATGTAGGCTACGTGTGCAATATTATGCCTATATTACAAGTATATTGTACATATTGTACATGTACATGTACAATATATTATGCATGACCTTGAAAATCCGCAGCATGTACATGTTACATTGTAAGTTACATGTAGCATCAGCAATACCCTTCATTGATCATGGGAATTGGAATTGGAATTGGAAGACTCGTGTTTGTTTAAATTAATAATTTTGTACTGCCAGGTCTTTTCGTGAGCAAAATGGAGATCTCCAATAAACATAAATTTGAGAGTGACACAGGAACCCCAAAATTTGGCCTCACTGTCTCACTTTCTCTCGTCACCGGGAATTACACTACATTTCTAAACGAAAATAACCATGGAGCAATAACTTTCGTGAGCTTGGAGTGTGATACTAGCGACAATGAAATAGTTGATAAATAATGTCAAGAGTTGACAACAGTTTAAGAGGTCACAGATTGTACATAAACATGAACTCTGTGTATGTCCTGCGCTCTCGAGAATCAGGCCATCTTTGAAAATGGAGAGGCTAGCTTTGATTCTGCGCGCGTTCCGCTGTCACTTCTATTATTTGACTAGACAAAACACACCCAGGTTCCTGCACTGCTGATTTTTTTGCCTTACTCTTTAAATGTAGCTGGACTCCCGCTACTTGCAATTAGCAATGCTTTGAAACAGTCACTGCTTGGAACTACCTTCGAAAATCAGAAGGGTTTCATGCTTGACTCACCTCCAAAGGTGTGATCTTCACTAGGCCCTGTGTGAAGTGATGGGGTGCCGTCAGAGTCCAAAATTAAGTCAAAATCATCAGTTTGGGACTGTGTCCACCCGCAGATTCCCGCTTCGAAGGTGCAGTTGAACTCTGCATGTATTGGTGTAAAAACCAAAGCAGAGGAATTGCCAGTAGAAAATGGCTTGAGACATTAATTTGGACAAGTTTGGGTTTTACTTCAGCAGCAAAAACACAACAGTAAGGGTCCGCCAAAAGTGACGTTCTGTTATGTTCTGGGCATCATCAACAATAAATCACAATGCATTTATATATTCTTTTTAAGTTGAATTTCTTTTCTGGCCTCCCTCTTACCTTGGCATTTTGTGACGGGCAAAATGCAGACAACCAAGATCAGAAGTCCACAATAGTGCATTCTGAAAAGTCGTATCTAACAGAAGAGGCTGTAACAAAACAACTCATATCAAAGTGAAACGTGTCATTGACTTTGACCTCGATCTACGAAGTGAACCTATCTTGCAAGTCACAGTGACACTTTCTATTGCTTTATCCTGGTGGCCTATGTTAAACTACCGGGGGCATCGCGGGTACTTAAATAAAATCAGCAGGCAAACTATCAAACAGCCCGTTACTCCCCTGCCCGAGGAAACGTAGAAAACCTCGACTTTGACTTTCCTCATACTACTTGCCAATCCTTTTTGCTGCAAATCTAGAATTCATCTTGTTAACTACCGGTACCTATTCTTTTATGGTATGTACGACTAAGCCTTTGTGAACAATTTCGTCATCATGAAATTCTGGCCGATTCTGGCTGTATTAATTTTGAGCTAGGTGTATTCAGCCAGAACTTAAGATTCGTAACATCAAAAGAAAGAATAACAGCAATTTATCGCGAACTAACGAGCCTGTGATGGTCGTGTATCCGCGTGTATTCTGTGTCGAGTCTATGGGCGCGCGCGACGAAGTTCAGCACAAAGAGCCTCGATTTCGATGATGATATGCGCAGAAAGCGCTAACGTCAAATCCCTCTATCCGTAACTCCTGGGGTGTATTCAATGTCGTAATGCTGTGCATATACAGGGTACTGCAATTCCGCCTAATACGTATTGTGCTGTAGGTTGAAGGCGCCCCGGGTTTTTCGATGTACTGTTAAACAAACACTTCAGTTTCGAGTCCAAGTCACAGAGACCGGTTCCTTAAGTTCACCCGATCTGCTTATGTAAGTTACGACGTTTGAAAAGTTGAACCACGACGTTTACTATTTTAGAACACTACATCCAAAGAATGTTGATGGTATATCTATTCCAGAATCTTTGGCATGAAAAAAATGTAAAGACAACCAAACTAGCTGTGTAAATCTTTAAAATTATTTTAAGATAAAAGAGTGCAACCAAAACGCTACTAACCGTGCCAGTCAACAAAAAATTACTGAGTTGCTGGTGTATAACCCAAGAATTGACATGACGGTGAAAAATAACAAAGACTTCAACTGTCTACAATTTGCGGTACTCAAAAAACCAGTTCATGATGGGCTGGTACAATTAAGCTATTTTATCGACCTTAGCGATACAATTCATTATACTCTAGGGGAAAAAACATGTTTATGCCGAGTGTAGATTGTGTGTTGAAATTCGAAGGGCGCCTGTCGTGTAATAGTAGCGTCTAGGCGAAATGGGGTGGAGCAATGAGCCAGTGCGAAAATCCAGAGATTTTCAATCATTGCGGGGGGGGGCAGCCCGCCGAATTTGTTGGCCATTGAGCTCAACGGGTTCAATAGGTCAATGCAAATGAGCTGATCAGTGGCTTGCTTCGCTCATGCTTCGCCAGCCACTTTCGTCACAGCTTTGAGCGATCAAACCACGTGGATTTTACCTTACCCACCTCCTCCCCCATACAGGCCTCCCCGTGGCTGTTTTTGTTGTTGTTGTTGTTGTTTTTTTGTTTTGTTGTTTTTTTGTGTGTTTCTGCCTTCTGTTTTATTTATGGCTTGGCAGTTTTTTGATACGGAATAAGAACGAAACACCATTTGTTTGTTAAAAATAATAAGCTACCTGGTCTAAACATCAATTAAATTTTGAGTTTTGTAAGTTAATATGTCTAAAGCGCCGTGATGTTCCACACGGCATGACAATGGGGAGTTGAACATCATAGTTCAACTTATTCACACCAATGCACGTGTGTATCTTATTAATGGCCCGTGATGTTCCACACGGGCTACACCTGGCCGCATGTTCCAGCGGTGGGAAATTTAGATTGCATGATGCTGTAAGTTACTGACTTAATTATTACAGTTCTTAAGTAACAAGTACTGAGTTGCGTAAAAGTTTCTTCCTTCATGATATGCATGAAAAACTAGCGTTAGTTAATATCATTATACTCTTGCGTCCTTTAGGTTGATAGTACCTAATTATCATATTGTGCCTGGTATTAAATAAATCGAGAGCTGTTTGGGACGTTCTCGACTCAGTGAACGTGGGTATCATTGACATTCTCGACTAACGCCCTTAAGTTTTGGCGTTTACTTGGAACTTCTGCCTTGGGGAGTTCTCGTGGTCATAGGTATCACGTTTGTACAGGGTTCAGCTCAATGTGCATGGTTTTAGGCGAGGTGGCTGCAAGTGCTGCCTTGTGTACCAGTTTGACCAATATACGTATGTTGGTATTCCGGTGAAGTTGGAGAATAAATCCATATCGAAGCTCACTCACTCACACAAATGGTTTGTCCACTTTCCTTCTTTTCGAGTTTGAGTATAAATGTATAAGTAATGTTAAGTAAATAGAACACACAGCTGCACGAAACTTACCCTGTTCCTATGACGCTGAATACGATGTTAGAGATCAGTCGCACGAGAGGCCTGTCAGCACAAACGCATCTGGCTACTGACATCTCCACACACCGTGGCAGCTGCAAAGGGTAGGCCTATTGTGTATGCGTTGGAGGGCATCCAAACCGGCTCCTGCTGACTACTGTTTAAAACTTTAAATTCAAGGTCCTCCAGGATGCACATTTCCACACTGACATTAGATTGCAACAAACGAGGTCTGTATCATACCGGTCATGCGGAACAATTCATTGTGGACGGCATCGATGGACCGTATAGCAAAGTCGTTATGGTATTGCATAGTATTACGAATCTTTGGAACACGTCTCTCCCCCAAAGCATGTTGATTGATGGATGGACAATTAGAACAGTAGGCACTTGTTGGAACCTTTAAAAATTCAATATCCTGTATTAGCCTGAGGGTAGGGCCAAACAAGGTCACTGTTAATCCAGAAGGCGCAGACACAGGCAAAAACACGAAGGAGAATTTAGTTTTTGTCTTCTTGTTCTTATTAGTACATCCTTAGCAGTTCTTTTCCTCTCCGAGTTAAAAGAGCAAAAATTATTTCCATCATTGGAAAAGCCAGTACTTCAAAATACTTTTGCGAAGCGCATTTGTGCATCGCAACCTTACAGCGAACAATTTGTCTGCTCATGAAACTTATGAAAAAATACAGACGGCCCCTGTAATTTCGGTTGACCATCCGTTCAGATAGGTTCGTGAAAGATTCACCGAACTGTTCGATAGCCTTGATTGCGATGTTTTGAAACGTTTTGACAGGTTGTTTACAGTTAACGTCTATTCATGTAGACGAAGTCGGCGGATTAATCATCTTTACAATAGCGTGCAGCCAAGGTCGCGACGGAAATATTGCCAGGCTCTGCAAAGACTTTTACAGGTTATTTACAGTTGATGGGTTTTCGGGTAGAGTGAATAATTATTTGGAGCATATCGATGTTGCTTATCGAAGAGAGTGGTGGTCGGCGCACTCTTTACTTGTTAATAATTTGTTAAAGCATAGCGAATTATCTAAGGCAGGGTGAAAAGGTAAGCGTAGACTAATACCACGGGCGGATCCACAGTTGGGGGGGGTCAGGCCAAAGTTTTTTAATGTCTCATTTTGTTGGACAAGTAGGAACAGTGATGAAACATTATACATGATATGCATTATGTACAATGGTATAAGTGCACTTACTTTAGGTATTTTTATCATATTCCCCACTCTTACCTTATTGACCTAGACCCACTCGTATCGAATAATCAAAACAATTCAGTGGAGAAAGTTTTAATCATGTAAAGAAAACTAGGTTTTCATTTGTTACAATTCTTTTTTTTTTCATAATTGCTTTGTCACAGTTTCTTTCCAATAGGAGAATTAAAATGGCTCTACAAAAATGGCTGAAAACTACCATATTGTGCTAAGGGCCTGGTCCTGATTCCTCCACTTTATCCATACTTGGGTATATAAAGACGATTTGATTGACATTTTTGCTTTGTGCACATCAAACTAGGAATTTCACGTTTCTATTCAAAATCATACGTTTACACTGAAGCGTAAAAGACTAGTGAAACCCCTGACAAACGTAGGTAGACGTTAAGAGATTATTGAGACTGTATAAGTTTTGCTTCTGTTTCATGGTATTGCACTGTTTTTCCCCAAATACGAGTGCCAGCCGAAAGCTAAACTCACCAGCTTTCTTCGCAGTTTTCGTTTTATGATGGCAACAAAAACGCCTCCTTATCCAATCTGATAAAGTATAAATGAAGTTTTGTGAAACCATGCCCATAATATTTTAAAGGTGATGTACACCATTTGTGCGATGTGAGCGTTTATTAATCAGACATTCTGTATGAGGTTGAGGAAAAATTGGACTATGTCGACAGTTTCCCGGAAGAGACAGCAATTCTCCCCTTTTGGTCACCGTGGTGGCTTCCGGACCAATTGATGTCCCCAAAATAGTCGGTATCTTTTGGTTTGGAATCACAAACTGAACACTGACCACAAATAACACATTTTTGGGGACGATGGTTTAAAACAGTGTAACGTGAAAAAAGCTAATACCGTAGCTGGTGTTGGAACAAACACGCCGTCTGTGGAGGTGGAGGAGATTACCTCTACAAACTAATTAATCTTTTTACCAAGTGCACTCTGTTGGAAGTGTCCGTATTATTTAACAAAAATACGGAAATCATCAGTACTCTTAAGTTCATAGGAAAGAGGCTGCATTTTCAGATCAAATAGAGGGAATACCCATAATTTCAGGAGAAGAAGGCTTTTCAATTTACGGGCATTTCTCTAAAAGCCAGTTATTTTATTGGGCTTCAGGTGAATACTCATTTTTTACTCCACCCAGTGAAAAATAGCCGTACTTTGTGGTAACAATAATACCGTACTCCACGTGGACAGCTCCTGAGGTTAGATAAGTAAAACTAGCGCATATGCCCAATGTCTAAATTACCTCAGGGGCGTGATTCCCTTTCCGAACACCAATCGTTGTCGACAGGGACTTTTAGAGAGGAATGACACTTGTAAAGAGACTACCACGCTTTAATACCAAATTTTGAAAAATGCATTGGAAGTGTTTTCATGAGATGCAGCAGTTCCATAACACCACTTATTCTGGGGTTTCGTGACTTTCGACCGTAAAGATTGTGGTGGTGTAGTCGTATAACAAGCAGAAGATCAGTGTAGCAGGTGATTTAATACCATGAAGATGGCATTTCTGAACAAAAGCGACAAAGTATGAAATTCATTACAATTGAGGAAAACCGGTGGTTGGAAAAAATGGACTATGTCGACATTTTTCAGAAGAGACAGGATTTCTCCCTTTTTCCCCCACAAACAAGCCTTTATTCAAGTTTCTCTTGCATGTTACATTAAATCAGGAAAAGAAAACATACAAGTTTTTGATTTATACTAGTTAATTAAACAGCAAGGAGAAAGGGTCCCATCTAGTGTTTTTGTTTAACCTGGAAAAATAAAGCAATTAAGAAATTGATATATTATCATTAAAAATGATGCGCAACTCAAGCCCATATAGAAACGTTACGGCTCTTTGAGCTACAACGTTTTGCATGGATGAAATTCAGTAAAGTCATAAACTGATTGACAACTAAACACTATAAATGTTGGATTTAAACGAAACAAAGCTTTTCTGATTCAAAAGGGTTGTTAAGATTTAAAGAGTGGTCTAAGTGTGCAAACACTGTTCTATTTGTAATATTTTTGAATACCAACTTTATTTTCGGTCCAGCTTGTAATTCTGATCATCTGGCTTGAAGAAAACGCAAACATAACATGTTTTATTTCGCATTAAAAACGGTTAATTTCGACTTCGTCACGAATGGTTTGGATCACATCAGAGGAAATGACATTCTACAATTGACTGGAGTCTTCATAACTTGTCACCGTTTTTACGAAGGGGCAAAATGGCTCCAAAACAAATTACTGAAATCACCCCAATTGCAATGATCTCTGCAGGGCAAAAATGATTTAAACCGCGTATTGTGTTTTCGAAGAAAGGTTTATACACAAATTTTAGCCTTTTCATGTACACAAGAAAATGTTTGTTTACACCGTAAACAAATTTAACTGATTTCTATGACGACTATTTTGTGGGTTTATGTTACTTAATAAGATCGCTTAAATTCAAAATATGCGAAATACTGGGCAAATAAACGTTTACAATGATGACGAATTGCAAATTTCAATAAATTTATTGGAAATGATCTGAAAAACTCAACAACCTAGATTACAGAAAAATTGCCAGTGAAGACATTCTCCCATGACACTACGATATACAGTTATTGCCTTTGAAAGGTTGTGAATAAACAGGAAATAAATGCAGGCGTGTATATTCAAAAGGTAAAATTCAGTAGATTACCCGAAGCCCATCACCAATTTTTATTTTGCGTCGTTACTTGATGTATAGATAGATCAGGCTCGGATCCGGATGACATGATCTAAGAGTCGTTGTAGCAGTCTTTGCTCCTATAAAAGTTAAGCAAACAGATAAGACATTCCAATGAACTCTGCATTCTCAGTGCATAGTAAGTCCCTTTGTACATCAGGCATTTCTCAATCAATGGTTGTCTGTTTCCGTGGAAATACAAGTCAAATCAGTTCGGCTCTCACATTGCTCTATTCAGTCACCAACTGCAGACTATAGAGCTCATCAGGAGAAACCCAACAGTGTTTACATTCAATTTGTAATTTTCACGTACGCTGTAAATATTTCTAATTACCCCTCTTCTTCCAGTGTGCTTATCATACTCCAACCACAATCAGTGGCTGGGATACACAGTGAAAACAGTAAAGTGCTGTTTAACTTGAGTAGGCCTGCTTCACCTGTTGCCTCTGGCTTTAGACAAGGAGTGTAATACGTTTTGGGGCATTAATGTTATACCGAAAAGACCTATTGCGCGCGCCAAGTTACGATATTAAATATCAACAAACACAGCATCCACAAAAAGCAAAGTAGGTACCGTGCCCAGACTGCTGATGTGCTGGGTACTTGTTACGAAATCCCTTTTTGGGGGGGTTATAATTTTCTTCTTCTTAATTTATTTATTTATTTTTTGGTAATTTGTTTGCAAAACTTTACAAAATGAAGGTTTGTTACGCGGGCACTGTCATACTTTATAATGTAATAAAGTACAAGAACGATTTCAGATCAGAGAGGAAGTGCCGTTTCTTGGTCTGTGATTTCATAAAGGCCGCGCAGTATATTTTCTACTAACTTGGGGGGGGGGCATTTCCCTCCCCTCGAGTTTTCAGAAGACATCATGGCTGCCGCGGCTTCAGACACACGGAGTCTGCATTTGATCACGCATTACTTTAGTTATGAAGAAACAGACAAAGTTATGAAGAAATAATTGCTTCTCTTGCTTGTAATCATTCTATCAGTCTCAGCAAGCGTAACCTACACCGTAGATTGCGAGAACCTGGCCTTTATTGCCGAAGACAACACACAGACATTGTTGATATTGCATGTTTTAAAGAAGGGCAGTTGAGTACCTTAGGCCTCTGTATAAGCCGACAAACGGTGCGCCATCTTCTTGGATTAATTACTATAGACCCAGAGGGAGTCGAGCAAAGAAGGCGACAGCAGCTACGGGGACGGTCATACAACGGAAGAGTTCCAACCCCCCAAAAAGTTACGAACGGCAATGCCCGCTTACCAAACCTTCGTTTCGTAAAGTTTCCAAAAACCCACAAAAATACAAAACAAATTACCCATAAGAAATTGAATACCAAAAAACGAACACACAAACAAACAAAAGTACTCAAAAAAGTTGGCACTAATGGGCTTTCGTACTATATCGTGATTTGGCTGTATTGTTTGTCAACAACACTCAAAGCACACGTTGCTATGGGGTTGATACCCACTATAGGTCACGTGTGGGTGCAATCTATTGATCGTGGCAAGATCGAGTCCCCGATCTTATCTTTGTATGACAAGCATGCACAAGCATGCACAAGCATGTTGTGACCTGCGTGCACGTTGATATTCTGCCTCTGTGCGTTAAACCTGGAAGGAGGGCAAATGTATTGAGGGAACTTTAGTTCCTTAATGCTTCCCCAGAGAATTGCTCAGAAGTGTGTGATTTTTTTTTCTGATTTGTTTGTTGGGCAGTAAACAAATGCAAGCGCCTGCCAAAAAGTCAAAACCATAAAATAAAAATCTGATAAAAGATTTTTGATTAAGAGCTCTTACACTATGAGAGAAGGAATTCTTCCCCTTAAATAAATACACAGGCTCTCTAACTTACGCGATAAAGTGGTTGTAGTAACGTTTACTGCACGAAGACCATTTGGGCTTAACCCTGACGTCGGTTGTTTCGGCGGCCATGATGTATCCAGAAGGAGGACAATTGTTTTGAAAGCTGTCATGACACATACCCAAACTGCAGTGAAGAAAATTTACGAAAAAAAAAGAGATGGGACACACAAAGAATTTCAAACCAGCCGTCTTGGTGTTACACTTTACAGTCAACCAATAACTTCATCAAAAAGGAAAACATCCAGTTAATTGACCTTCGGAGTTTAAAATCTTGGAAAATATGCACTCCGTGTACATTAGCTTCCAAGAGTCAAATAAACACTGCAAGTACTTGTACGTGAAAAGCTGTGAATGCTCTTTATGCATATATCAATTGACCTATATTCGGCAAATCTACTGTTGAGCTGATAAGAATGAACATTTTCGAACTTTATGCCGGTTCCATAGACCGAAATTAGGGAACCTCAGTTGTGCCTGTGTTATTTTTTCATTGTGCTTAATAGGAGAAGTTATTTCCATTATTTTAGTCACAAATTGGCGGTAACCAACTTACATGTACTTACGAGGTCATGGTTCTTGACTTAATCGTACCTGAATAGGGCTAGTTAAAGGTTTCCCTCGTTCCATTATTTGAAAACAATAGCATTGAATGGAAGTGAGAACTGCCCTGTCAAGAACGGGGGTATAAAAACTTAACCATGTCAGCTTTACCAGTATATGCATGTATAATATTTATACTGACCACTGTTTGAGGCATTCTAAGAACTGGCTTACTTGTGTCCGATTTCATGCGCAGCCGTGTCGGTCGCCACGTCAAAGCCGAGGAAGCTTGAAATGGAAACTGCTTTTTCGTTGTCACATTCGCCCAGATTGGCCAGGCCAAGGGTATCTTCTGTGAAGGACCATCTGTTGGTTCACCAAAATGATGATTATCCATAACAGTTGTGAGACGTACTTTGTTTAAACATAACTAGAGTATTCAGAACATTTGTCAGTAAGTCTTTGTGTTTTCGAAATTCCTATCGAATATGTTTTGAACGACATTTCTTAATACTGTTTGAAAACTTGAAAGAAAAGCTGAGAACATTCTGCATGATGCACAAAATGTGCTGGCAGCCAATGTTGGAGGCCCAAAATAATGGACCTGCGACCTCTGGAACCGAGTATCAGACTTCAGCCTATTGGACTACCAAGCCCCCTGACGTGGTTCATCATGGGACGTTAGCTAGAGGCCTTAGATTCCGTGCACCATGTCCACCAGTCATCTTACAATGATTATTAGCTTTGCACCTATAGTCAGTTTGAATCTAAGTTTCGATCTACGTTTCTGTGATTATTGTATCCTCTTTGCGTAATCTTCGTCGGCCAAGTCCCCTCTGGACTCCATATGCCTGATCCTTTGCTGTTTGGAGAATGATTTAATGGCGTCGGAGTTTTTGCTAATAAAAGGCACCATTAATGGTGGGCTTGCCATTCGGTTCTAAGGCAACACTCCTTTTTCGGAACAATCCTTTTCTGTTTATTTTTGGCCTTTGGTATAGAAAGATTGTGTCAATTTGGTGAAATTACCCGCTCATCACGGCAGCATTGTCCCAGTGACGCTTATCCGAAGACGGGTACCTATTGTTTTGCAGCCACCCCTCGGCGTTTTCTAAAGACTCTTCAGGATCTGAGCTGGTTGTAAATCCAGGCTGTGGAGAAAGCAGGTGTTTGTCAGTGTGTGAATCTTAAGGTGGAAAATAGAAGGCTAGATCAGCGTAGTTGCGTATTATCCTGCGTTTTTGACATCTGTTAGGGTTGAAGTATAGTTTCTTTCAAGGTTTTCAACGGTTCATTCTGGTCTTATATGTTTATCCCTTCGCTAGGATTTCGTTTTTCTTTATTTTTACTAATAAGGATCACATTTCGTATGTGCATTAGAAAACCCTGAATTCACGACTTTGTTAATTCGGGCGTCTGTCTATTGTCTACAACTTTATTGGCTAAATTGTACGGTAGACAAGACTACAAAACTAGAGCATCAACATTTTTGTAGTGTTTCCTCGGCGTTGAAACCTCCTGCATCTCAATAAGATTACTGCACCCTCTATAGGCAAGGGAGTGAAAACCGCACTCTTTGTAGGAGTGAGCCCCTTACAACGCTTCTCCAAAATAGTGGAAAGCCAATTCTAAAACGAGTGAAAAACACTCCAAAAGAGTGAATATCATTCAAAAGAGGAGCCATATAAAGGACAAAAACTCTTTTTCGCTCGCTGCCTTCCTATCCTAGCGAAATGATACCTTAATAAACTGGTTTGACAAGCCTTGGAATTACATGGAACAGCCTAAAACGATATTGCTGTAATAGCAGTAAAGACAGGCTCCTACAATAGGAATGGTTTAGTAAAAAGAAGTAAATGCGCACTTTTAAGCAGTTGGCATAAACTGAGCGATGACATTGTATGTAGGCCAATACCTGACTTGGCGTCAAGATTACCATGTGCACTAGTATGGGGACGAGGTTGGTTCCAGCCAGCGAATCGAGCTGCAGGACATTCTTCACCTATACCAAAGTGAATTCCAAAGGACTATCACTGTTTTCCTGTCAAGAAGTACGGGCAATGATACCACTGCGACCTACCTTCCCTTCCAATCTCAGCGAACTAATACTCAACAAGGTGGGTTGAACAGACTGGGAATTGAATACAATATCCTGAAAACAATATCTCCCTTAAACAGTAAATACTATAGCCTTAGCCCTATGCATGAGGAATTGTTTGGTAAAGAACAGACAATTGGAACTTTTGTCTGTTGAGCAGAACCCCTTACTGACGGAATGTGATAAAGGACCATGTTTCAAAGTGACCCTGCGTGCTATTCAACTGAGGCCAGTCGACATTTAAAAATTGACGACTTTTTACATGGCCAGATGTTTTCAGCCACGAGGCACCGGTATTAGCCGTCCTCTGATTGGTCACAACCAACAGGTAAAAGATGCCTTCAGCAATACATGTACATGCATATTGGTATGGTTCACACCTTATTGATCAGAAATTAATCTCACCGCATTAAAAAGTGTTGTGAGAGCTGTCTGGGTATTGCTGCCGCGTTGACTGTACAGCTTGGCGTCACCAATGACAGCAAGTTCGAGATACTTGGTGCCTTCTGGTCGGGTTTCTCTTTCAGTGCACCTGTACTCTTTCACTAACGTTAGGTAAAATACGACATGTTGAAAGGAATGGGAGAAAATTCATGGTCGACCGTTGTTGGACGATAAGCCAATGCATTTATTTGGTGAAAGAAATTAATCCTCACAACTAGTGGGTAAACCGCGTTCAACAATATGGCAAAAATAAATGACCAGTAATTGGACTATTTGTGGCAACTCCAGCTCCTGCCTTTGCTTAGTGCGTGTACACAAACGTTGAGGATTTGCTTGTGGCCTTGTTCAGAAACTGTATAGACTGATCCAAGCTAGTATGATAACAATGCAATAAAAATCGTAACTGACTTTGGATCATTTTCTTCTAAAGTACCTTCGAATTATAAAATGTTTATTCTCCCAAAGTTTGATCAAATCATGTAAAACTTGTCCAGTAAAATCACTGGACCAAGCCTCGTATAAAGTGTTCTCTCAGTTTTGCTGGTCACCGAAACTTGTAACACACATTCGCACTTACATCCCTCTCCTGATTTTGAAAAAGGTGATTGTTTGGCAGACCAAAATTGAAGGATTATGAAAATATAGGCCAGGCGCATCTTTGGGTTTGGGGACTTCCAGCAGAGGGCAGCGTTGATGTTCAATTATGGACAGAAAACGGTCCTCAGTGCCCAAGAAAGTAGAAGGGAGCATTTGAAAAATGCCTGCAAGCGAGCTTGTAAACTAGGCCTATCATTTTTTTGTGCAGTGAGTTTCTTTTGGTGAATAAATAAAATGGAATTGAGTAACTCCTCAGAAAGATTAGACTCGAGATAATAATTTGATTTCAGTTTGAGAGACTCCAGTTATGTCGGCTTGTATGGTATTGTGCCCTGAACTTCGTTGTGCTTTCCAAGGGGCTTTGTTTCGTAGTTCGCTGTACCCTGTATAAGCCAGCCTCTCATGGATATTTGACAAACCTGGTTATGCGTGTAACAGCCTAAGAAAATAGATCTCGTCCCGATCACAGATTCACACAAATGGTGCGCCATGGTCACACGTGCAGTCAAACAGTTGACTCACACGTTGTAACTATGCAGCTTAGCGCCCGTCGAATTCCTCGTTTCGACCAATGTTACAGCCTATCCGTTGACGCTGACACAGACACAAGTGTCATTGTTTTCTACTAGACTTCAGAATTTCATATATTTTATTTTCTCAAATACATTGTTTTGATATAATATTTACAAAATTTGTTTCCACGGCTGTTTTATGTACTGTTTTCTCTTGTTCAATGCGTGTCGTAGGTTAAGAAAAGTGTTGGAGAGGCTATTTACGGGTGATATCCATGTTTTGTGAAGCATGTTAGCTCGAGTTGGAATTATAATTTTGATCAAATTGCTGTGGAAAAAACTCGATTTCAGAAGGGACCTCGAAAACTATGCTAAGGGTCGACACCCATTCTCCTTTACTGAAAACATATCTTGCAAGGATCGCCTTTTGGAACGCACTTTTAATATTCATATGCCAGTATCTTACTTAGTATACACATTATGTCTTTTTTGTCTTGTTTTGTCCAAAGATGAATCAATTAGCATAACAAAACCAGGTCTCAGGGGTAAAATGGGACATACAACACATACAAGGGCACTGACTGCTTTACAGGCATATCGTCAGTAATGACCTACTTTAATTTCGGCCACCGTATCTTATATAATTATGTCAACTTATTTACGGCTACTCTAATTACAGATTGATTGCTGTTATCTGATTTACGTTTCGCTTTAGCTCAAGAGGAAATAAAACTTAGTCCTTTAACGTTTGCATATCAAGTCTCGCACTGAACTTACCTCGGACAGAGCACGAGGCACCTCTCTCTGGTCTGTCTTTATAGGCAACGTGGGGGAGACCACGCCCAGTGTCTCTCTTGAAGGCGTGTTCGTCATCCAACGGCTCGATGTACGTCGGTCCAGTGGCGTGATTTATAACCGCCATCTTTAGGCAAAATGAAAAAAAGAATAAATGAACTTTGTTATCGATAAATCAATTTGATTTTCTCTGTAATTTGTTCATATGATCTTTTGGGATAGAATTTTTGGTCTGTCTTTTTCTTTTCTTTTTTTTTAGATAGGGTTGCACAATGACCCTCTCCTTTCTCAACATTATTACGTCGTGCGCTTTTTCTCTTTTTACTTTTTGACTCTTGAATAGAGTGTGGAATTTAAAAAAAATAGTTGAAAACCTTTGCCTAGTAGCCACATGGGCTTGATTATTTATCAAAATTCACGGAAACTGTTGTTTGTTACCAACAATGCTTTGCAGAAAAAGCTCGTCGGACTTACCAAACCTGTGCAAGTGGTGACTGACACAAGAGAGTCAGCTTCCCCGACCACTCTGCCAGTGTAAATACAGTCGGTCCGGACAGGCACCTTGATGATGCCCCTGTCAGTGACGTATTCAGCTTCGAGGCCAGGTCTGATGTTACTGTCGTCGTGCTCCAATGCCATGTGCAAATTCTCGCCGAATGCGGTGACATAAACGTCAAGGTGCGAAGTTGAAATGGCACTTCGAGCTACTCTGCGCTTGCTGTCAGCAATTGCATACTCCGGATACACTATCTCGTACTCAGGGGCTAAAAAATTGGGCAACACAAATTAAAGGTTATATAAACTCAATTATACTACTTGAGACTCATAGTTTTGCTTTAGATTCGTAAGAAATAGCGTTTCTTGGAGCAACAGTCATTGTTCAAAGAATTTAGTGTAGTCCTTGGAACAGAAAGAACTTTTGATTTGATCTCACCAGACTCACCTTTTTCATGACTGTCGACACCAAAGTAACGCTGAAGTTCTTCGTCAGAAAACTTGTGTTTTGGCTATAAAATAAAAAGAGAAAAACTCAGAAAGCAGTGCATTATCATCCGATTTTTCTTAAAAGATTTTATTCTTCACATGTGAACTCCACAGTCGCTCTCACTGCAGTTTTATGTTTATGTTTTATTTTGAATGAAAACATTAAACGTTAATTCTATCCCAGGTAAATCACCGTCCTGCTGAATAGTGAATTGCAGATCACGTGACAGGAACTATTCGGTCAAAACATGGTGCGTGTGCACTGGCAAAAAAGTACCAGTGCAAAAGAACCGTACAGAAGCTAATTTTAACACAGACAATGAGTGTCAATGCTGACCACGTTTACATATACAGCTCAAGTCTTTCAACTACATGTATATGGATCATTTCATGAGGTTGGGGCACAATTTGTGACGGTATGAATTGTTACATGGGTTCCGTGAAAGTGAACAGCTATTTCTCTGCATGTGGATTCCAAATTGTCATTGATATACATCTTGAAATGCTGAATCAACAGGTAATGACAGACATGGTAAAAGTTACCCACGTAACTAGGACATCGTCACAAAAATTGTGCCCCAACTACATGGAAGGACCTATATAGCAAAGACATTTCTGATCTACGGCTTTTCATACCAACATAAAACACAAAAATATTGACCTTTCTTTCAAATAAAAGCAATTTCCTACGCATTCACAATACCTTATAAAGCATGAAGGTCATAACAATTTCTGTCTCATTCACTCTTTATGCTGGAGTGAGAAAAGAACATAGCGATTTGTAGAAGAGGATATATTCAGGCGTTGTAGAAAATAAGCAATGAATGCGCCACAGAAATAAGGAAAACAGTTTCATGTGATGACAGAGAAGAGGGGAACCATAGACATTCGTTGTTTGTATACTTAACTTTGCCCACTGGTAACTCTTTAGGTAAGTGTGCTACAGGCCTAGCTTGGCACATAAAAGCAGGCATGTGTTGTAAAAAACTAACGTAGGCGGATGCAAAAACCTACCAGAGGCTGTCCAGCCAAAACCTTTGCGGCGAGGCACAGGCAGAGAGCAAATGAGAGTATCATCGTAGCACGTCTTTGAACTCGGGATCGAATAACAATTTCAAGTCCACACAGCCCTTTTAAGGATTTTCTAGCCATATCAACAGTTTGTGAAAAAAGTGTGCATTAACACACTCATTTAAACAAATCACTTGAGAATGTAATGAAATTGACGCTCTCTCAAATACAATGTATTAAAAAAACGTTTTCAATAAGTCTGGATGAGCGTTTCACCTGCAAATTCAACGGCCCAAGTTACATCTCGTAAAATTTATTGGACTTTTTCAATAAATTTTAGAATGCATTTTAAAGCCTGAGTGAATTGGTGCCCGCAATAAATATTTCCAATTAAACTTTTCGCATGGTTGGCAGTGAGGAATTACTTTTGAAGTCTCTGAAAATTTCCTCGTTTACAGGAATTACCCATGATATATGGATCATTTCTAAAACTATAAACCTTGCATTTCAACAAAGTGACCTTACCTGGCCGGTTCTTCGTCCAAAATGACAAGAATTCTTGTTAGACATGTTGACAGTCACCAAGCAGCTTCTTCCTGAAAGAGCCGCGAAGGAGAATTTTTAGAGGAACTCGTTGCGGTTTTTCTGAGACCATTTTGCAAAACTCGAACGTTCTCGCTCAGCGCGCAGTTTTCCGAGACGGGTCAGCCAAACAAATATACCATTTCCAGTGCGGTGCTCAATGTACGCGGGCTGGCACTTATGTAGCCATGAACTTCAGATAACTTGCAAGAACAAAACCAAAGCTTTGATTGAGTTCCAACTTCCCATTTGTAATAATAAGGACAATTTGTATATGCATGTCGAGCCTTCAGAAAAACCGAGCTTGGCCAAGCCCTTAGGGGGCGGAGTCCACCCCTGGCTGTGAGATGGGTCAAAATAACCCAGCTCTTTGACGGTTTAAATCACCTTTATGGTATTCTATGGCTTGGTTAGCCATGAATTTTGTAGCGTAAAGGGAAAATAATGGGTCACATATCAATATGCCAACTAGTGGGATGTTCCACTCTGTGCTGGACTAGGTAGATGGTTCGAGTTGTGAATTTTAGATGCAGTAAAAAAAAAACGGTTGATAAAATTATTGTCTTGTACATTTTTAGGGAATAAATGTAGGGATGTGAA